GACAAGTCCTGCAGGAACAGTCGCCTAGCACTGCGGCCAGTACTCCTATGGGAGAGAGGGTAGTGTAAGGCATGATAAGTTCGGTGGTTTTCTAATGTTCAAACTGTGCCTGTCTGCTTTCAGGTCGGCTACGAATTATGCAGGGATTGGTTACCCAAGACGAGGCAACGGATGACCAATGTGAGTGCCCCTTACCTCTCATCTCATTGTATTGCGATTGGCTGTAAATATAACACTTGACCTTGAGTCTCCGTTCTTACTAGCACGCGACGCTTGTGTGATCACACTGCCGACGTGCGCTTTGCTCTCTGTTTCAGATCACTGCTTGGCGAGTGGGATTACACACCGTTCGCTCTTCAGTCGAGGATGTAAAACTACCAGAAATTTTATCGTGATTCATTGTTGTAACGTTTATTCTTAGATCTTGTGTATAATGACGTTAATGTTGGTTACATATTGGCGTAAGAATAAGGGATTCTCGGGACGCCAACTGTGTTCTGTTTTTTTTTCGCGTTGGTTTCTGAAAGTCTTTGAGGGACAGCGTGAGGTCCAGCGTAGTAAGAGCTGGACATTGACAACTCAGATGCCATCCGTCAAATAAGCTTTATTTAAAAAAAACGGAGTCTAAGGTTAATGAACAATTGCATACTCATTTCTCTTACAGAATTTGGTATACCATGTATAAGGGAAGTTTTTCCCTTTCTTTGCTTGCTGAAGTTGGTGTTCTTCGAGGTTCTGTTCCGTCTGTTCTGCTTTTCTCTTTCTTCTTACACGACTTTTCTTTTTAGAAGGAAATAAAGTTCGTTCAAGACTTTGGTCTAACAGTCTCGTTGAGAGTTACGTCCCTATTTGACTGTACCTAACTTAACAGCTTTTGTTCGGACATAGGCCAGTGGTCTAAGCTAAATGGCCTTACGTTAATCCCACCCAAAATGTCAGACATTAACTGTCTGGCATTAACGGCTACCAGTAAAGTAGGCGGTGTGCCACTAAGTCAGGTTGTTACTTTTGTAGTTTACAGACATCTAAACCCACGAGAGAAACTGGCTAAACACATACTGTGTGGCTCTCAGCACCCTCTTTATTCACAGCTCTTCCCCTCACATTGAATTTCATCAGGTAGGGTCAGAATTCATGATAAAACATTATTCACCCGTACATCCAAGTACAAAACTCAGAGATACCCCACTTAACCCACGTCGGATGTGACAGAGACAGAGTTAAGCGTGATACTTACAGCATACTACACAATTAAAAATAAGTGGCCCTTCTATCTTCTCGTATTTTTAATTTATGGTGACACTATTTCAAATATCTTCACATTTTATTTGCTGGCAGTGCGTCGGTGGCGTAGTGGTTAGGACTCTCGCCGACCATGCACATGGTCCGGGGTTCGATCCCACGCCGACGCACACCTGATATCTATAGTCGGCCTGCGAAATTTGGGCTACCGATATCCACGCTGAAAATTCCATACTTGTACCAAAAATACGGTGTGGAATCAAGCTGTAATCAAAAATAAAAAAATAAAAAATAAAAACAATATATATCACCATCATCCTACAATTTCGTAGTTTTACTTCATTGCTACTGTGAATACCAAAAGTTGCTATTAACAGTTTTCGATAACTCTACCCTATAATATTTTTGTTGTTGTTGACTGGGTTAGATGCATTAATACACCGACTGCTGAGAATCCCGCACTGTTTTGGAATAAAACAATTCATTACTGATATCCTCGTTTTTATATTCATTTGTACACTCCTATTGTCTTACCAGTTCCATACAAAGTTACCTGGCTCAAACTTCCCTTTGTGCAGTTAGTTTATTCCGCTTTTTTCCTTTTTTCTCTCTTGGTACCTCTTTCTTTACGTTAATCCCAAACTATCTGGATGTTTGTCTGGTGAAGCGCAATATTCAGATCACAAAAGAGCCACTCTTCTTGCACAAATCACATATTCCATTCAAAATGAACTAAAATTCAGCAGAACTAAAGCGGTCAAAGAGAGGGATTCTCTGCCCTGAAATCCATCCGGAGCAATAAAAGTGGGAGCCAAGAATTCAAAGTATTTATACATGCTCGTAAAAACATTGAGTTGGTTACTGGACGTTTCATGCTGGCCTAGAAGGAATCACTGATTCAAATTCAGGTCTTTATTTCGGGACAGAAGTCTTAAAACCTGAGTTGATCCTTTCCTAGTGAGTATCTGTGCTTGTCTGATTCCTTCGAGAAAAAGTTCACTTGGTACTTACTCACCGCTTCTTCTGAGAGTTGTGCCCAATTATTGATGACTTGGTGGGGGAGCAGTACTACGCGGCAGTACGGTCCCTCTCAGTCTTTCGAACTTTTCTGAAACTTCCACCGAGGCGAACCGACCTGGTGGGGTGGAAGAATGTAGGTCACACCCATAGTCATTTCTTGGAATTTTTAACGTAATTACAGTATGATTAGGAGAATAGTAGTGTGATACATTGGTTATACAAAGAAAATACATGTGGATATCGTCTGAAGTCTCTCTAGAATATATTAGTCCTCCTGTAGAAAAATTCTCACTGCCTGTATGCTGATTTCAGCAGAGATATACCTATACAGTAGTCAGCATTTCACTGTGGACAAGGCCCTGCTTAAAGCCATTAGCAACGATAACTGAGAGTTACCACCGCGCGACAATGTGATGTAGCTTCTGGGTTATTACCCTCAATTACACCTAGATCCGCTTGTGTTAGGGATGATAACGGTTTTATCCTCTGTATGTAAGATACCTAACCAGGGTGCCTGTTTGCTCGCTTATCTACACTTGCTTGGATCACCAATTCTTCGGAACAATGTAAAAGTGTGTCCAAATCTTAAAACATGGGCCTGTCTTTGTTTCTTCTATGCGGTCTTAAAATTTCTAGGTTGTTCGCGTGGAGTCGGTGAGTCCAAGCAATTGATCGATATGCAGGATATATAGGAAGGGACAGAATGCGGCACCTTATGGCACAACAATATGTACGGTTACTCAAAAATGGAGATTTGGGATGCCTATGAATTTCAATCGCAAACTTACAGGGAATTACTCCATCAACTTCAGTAGGACACACTTGATTCCAAAACTTTCCAACTCCTTGGACAGTCTTGTTTTAAGAAATTTAAGCTTTGTGAAATCCATGGAAATAACATCGACAATTTTCTTTTGGCGTTTAGACCCTAACCAGATTTCATTTGCAGTAAAAAGTTTTACAAGGCGCAGGAAGCTTCCCTAAGAAACATGCTCAACATTGGATAAATATTTTTGTTTTTTGAGATATGTTATGACAGATTTCTTCATATTCTTTCTAGTACCAGAACTAATGTACTGGGTGAAACTGAAAAGTCTGTAGTTCTTGAGAAAATGTTTTAAGTGTTTACTTGTGAATTCGATTAACATTTTCATCCTCCCATTCACACGGTAAGAATCCCCTTTAAATAAGTAACACAAGAAGAAATTTCAATCAACATTCCGGATAAGTTCAGCCTTAGCATTGCATTAACCAGACCTACAACACTGAGAAGTAGGTTGATAAACTGTTCTGAAACTCACCGAAACATCAGAATGTTTAGATTGTTCGTAGTTTGGAGCAAAGAATTCAGTCTGCTGATACGAAATTTTTCACGAAGATACTAGATATTATACAATTGGTCCAATCAATCGACGGGAAGATCAAAAATTCAATTCGATACTAGATATTGGTAACCGACTTTTGTGTAAGCCAGGCAGTTATTAATTTTTTTCTTTAAATTTTTGATTATAGCTTGAAACCAGGCCGTATTTTCGGTACAAGTATGGAATTTTCAGCATATGATATCAGTAACCCAAATTTCGCAGGCCGACCATAGATGTCTGCTGTGAGTCGGCAGGAGATCACCATGTGTATGGTTGGCGACAGTCCTAACCGCTATGACACCGATGCACAGTAAATTATTATTATTATACTGTCACTAGGCAATGAACCAGCATAAAAATGACTTTATTATATAATGCAATACTACATTATACAAGCCAGTTAGAAACTTACTAGTTGCGTTGTTTAGTTCTGTTTATAAGCTGCTAAGTGCATAATATCATTGCACCTCCGCTACTCAAAAGGGATGCTAACATTCTAGAAAGTGTCCAGAGACGAGCGACAAAATGGGTGATCGGCCTCCGCAACAAATCATATGAGGAACGACTAAAGAAATTAGGTCTTTTCACACTTAGTTACCGAAGGCACAGGGGAGACCTCATCACCGTCTACCAGATCCTAAATGACCAGGCCCACCCAAATAAAAGCATCCTGCCATTAAGCGATTATAGGCTTCCACGAGGTAACCCGCTAAGGATAGCACACCAGAGACCAAAGACTCGAGTGCGATCACATTTCTTTTCGCTTCGTGTTTGCCGTCTCTGGAACGCTTTACCGGCGGCCGTGACTACAGCGCCATCTCTGGAGATTTTTAAGCGGAAGCTAGACAATCATGCAGAAATGCAAGGTTTGTGTCTCAATGGCTTATCCTCATAAAACTCGAAACCACACTGTCAATGGATAAGCGTACAAACTGAATCAGCACGACCTATTCTGCCTTCTCTCACTCTATCTTTTCCTTAGGTCACCTTTATTATTCCACTTATCTCAACCTATATTATCTACACTACAACCCATTATTTTTATTATTATTATTACTATTCTGCTTTTGTGACTACACCGAATGACCAACGGGAGTTAGGTTAAACTCCATTCACGGCAGCAATACAGTCCTAACATACTGCATACTACAAACCACATCTCGACCAATCCCCGCACCACTCCTCCTGGAGTCTACCAGAGCTAAAGCAGTCGAGTGGCGGGACTTACTACGCAGAAGCTCACCGAAGATCTGGAACCTCTACCTCACAATCAAGAAGCGAGCTCAAAGAAATCACTGGTTTATACTAGCTCGTAATCAGGATATTGGATATTGAAGTGACCCTGGAAAGGAGTGGAGGGTAGTTTGACACACGATGGAATCCTGGCAGAGGCTGGGGGACTCTCCTTTTTCTAGAGTGAACCATCAAGCAGTGTGTTTGGGAGAATGCATATATGTATTCGGAGGATTTGATTCACAGATGCAAGATGTAGACTATAATAAGAGTCAGATAGATACTTATATGTGGGACATACGTAAGGTGTAGTCTTTGTTCGATAAATTTGTAGGTAAAAACGAATGGAGACAACTTCCATACCCTCTTCTTTTCAAATCTTGGGATTGTACTCGTAAGACTTGGGGACCTGACCCTATTTTGGAGGTAAGGAAACGTAGTGTACCGGTGATCAGCTGATCTGCTGCAACCTTTTTAAATGGTGAATTTGAAATATCTCATATTCACCATTCGTGGTTTGAGTCCATAATATCTCATCTTTTTCACTAGTGCGTGAGGCTTAAGATTCGCATTCCATTACTGAAGTTAATCGTCCCATACTAGTGAATGTGATTGTTTTTATAAAAAACAATTTTATAAAAAGTCCAGACATTACAATGACTGGATTTAGAGAATAGTAGTATCTTTTTCATGATATTACTTTTAACAAGTATTATATCTTTGTATAATCATAGTAATCAGCCTGGCCAATAAATATTTGCATGCGACTTATCGCAGACTTTAACTGTCGGCTTTTCAGCTGGTGGTATCAACCCTGACTCAGTAATCGTGGTTTTTATTGTGGTACGCGATAAATCTGTTCTGTGTAGCTAAGTTCTGGTAAATTTTAATTTCTTTCCTGATATCTTATAACAACCGGTCTGGTCTTTAGAGGCTAGTGGTCGTAATGATTTCTAATTCAAATAGAATATTAGTGAAACACTAGTAGTGCCATAATAAAATTACCAGTCAAAAGACAAACTTCACGACAAGTAAGGTGTTTCTGGTCTATTTGTCTAACGTTTTCAACTTCAGTAAACGAAAACTTGTTCAAGTGGCTAGTCAGCCCTGTGGTTTCGCATAAGAATACACCTTTAGTTATTTGTTTTAACCTGGTCGGTTAAGTTCACACATGTGTCTATGATTAAAGGTTACATAAATGTGTCTTTGTAACGGCAAAATTACTTCTCAAATTGTTTCCTGTGTATGATAGGACGATGCAGTTAAGCGGTGTCTCAGAAGCCGTCTTTGTATTATTCTGATTTGTGCTTGTTTATGTCTGCCATACCGAATTATCTTTACACGTGTTCTTTTACACTCATTATGCAGTATTGATAGTTCAAGTGCTGCGGGGGGTCGGGCACCATATGTATAAGGCGTATTGTGCATAAAAACTGCATATAATATCTATGCTTGCAAGGAGTTCTCGGTATCGGTTTTGAGCAAAGTGTGACGAGCTCATACCCCATTTAGTTTAGTGACAGTTGCTGTTTGCTGCATACTTAAATTAAATTAGATGCTGGTTATAATGACTTGTGGAAATTTTGATAGATATTGAAGGTAGAATCAACAAGTAAAGGTCCTCAGCTATAAAATTCCTTGTCAATTTTGATATGTGAAACATAAGGGAACTCTTTCTGTGCTCAATATTGATTATTTGTGCTCCTGGTTACTGTTTATATATGCTAAAACTTCTCTAAAGTACTGTTTTGTACTTATTAATGCCACTTTTGTTTCGTTATAAAATGTGACAAAACAGTTGTAAAATGGGGAATTTAGGAATCTCCAACCATTAGACTCTGACGCAGTAGTAAGAGACGTGTTAGCTCTATAACCAGGTGTTCGTGGTCCTAATACTCCTTTACTTACAGTGATACCGCTAAAACGCCTCATATCAGGATAAGGTAGCCTTTTTAGTGCATATTGAGTTGGAAATAACTTTACAAGTGATGTCATAATTTGAAGCAATCTAACTTCAAGAAGAGAATTTGAAATGTGATGTCATACAATTGGCCATCGTCATCATTTCTCTTTTCTTCTGCACAGCGTCATTTCGTATTTTTTTGGATATTTTGTAATGAGCAATACAGCTTTTAGAGTTAATAAAACAGTAGTATATGAAGTGTCATGAGTTTGGTTTGAACCTACGTTTTCAGCAGTTTAAAAGAGTGGTAAGATGTATCTATGGGTTAGTTATATTTAACAGGAATAGTCTTCCAAAGAAGTCGATTGTCTAGGCAGCAATATCTATTACTGAAAGGACCTAAACTGAATTTCGACTTAAAACCCTGCAAATAAATGTATCAGTGTCAGCCGACGGACTGAATGAGGGCGCATGAAGGTAGCGAAAAATGTAATAGGTGGGAATATATCGGCGAATAATCAGAGAGACCACAAGGAGTGAATACATCTGTTGTATTGAGAAAATTTCTAAGTTGTATCGTCAACAGCCTCCCACCGTTGGCTTTTAACGTATTGACGACCTCGCCTAGACAGTCTCTACTTCTCTGCATGACTCAGAATAACAGTCTGACATCGTGCTTGGTAGCGTGTTTCGCTCTGACTTCGCTCCTTAACTTTATTTCAACCTAATCCTGTTTAAAGCTAAGATTGGTTATCGAGTAAAGTGCTGTCTCAATAAACGTGACACATTTCCCAGCTACCTCAATCGGTGCTACTTCACAATATCATCACCTGGTTTTCCCTCTTCACATAACACCAAACCTAATCTCGTTATTACTAAACGAATTATACCGCCTAAAATGAAAAATAGAACGCGCATCTATAATCAAAAAGACAGATACTGTCTTCGTGTTTCACGATTAACAGCCGTAAAGAAGGCCATTACGAATTGCTGCAAAGAACGTATGTCCGTTGTTGGATAGTTGGACGTCACACCTGTTTCAAAGATAATGCTAGTTGGTAGATACCAAACGAGCCTTTCATATCTGTAGTAAGATTTCCGCCAGTGATCAGTCCGCTGTAGCTCATATGGCTTCCCTAATGATTAAAGTGTTCTACACACACAACCACTTCAGTAGTGTCAGTGAAGACCAGTCCTTCAGCATTATCTTAAATTTGACGCGGTCGAGTCACATATCTGGGATTGCATGAAATATCGAGTTAATTCTATCCATATTTATGTAATGGGCATAAATAAGATATTCGTTTACCATCAAATTGAGATGCATGATACCGCATTATTGATCTACATTTATAATGTAACTACTCCATTTTAATGTGTAGTTTTACTTGGTAAGTCCAAATGTGTTATGTGTATGAATGGGTTTATGTAATATGTTGATAGTTGGCACCCTTTTCTTTAAAATAATGCCTAGTGCAAATTGAAGCAAATATATATTCCTATCATTATTATACCATCATGCCATTTAACGTTTATAATTTCCTCTCTATGATCTGTTTATTTTCACGCCTATCGCTAATCTTCTCTGTCAATTTTCTTTCAGCGTAATGGATGTATTCAACCAAGTTTTCGATTCGGTCATACTGTTGTTGCTTGGCGTGGTCGTGGTTGGCTTTTTGGTGGTAGAATGAAGCATCAAGTATGTCCTAATCAATTATATATGTTCGATCCTGGTTCACTGTCTCACTACCAGTCTACTGAATCGTTAAATGGTCAACAGTTGGGTTGTAAATTCTCTACCAGAAAGTTAAGACCTGCATGCTGGGCTGAAGTTAGAGGTATGGTTGGCAGCATACCAACTCCACGAGATGGTCATTCAGCCACTGTTTCAGAAAATGCAATGTTTATATTTGGTGGCTATGATAGTGTTGTAAGTTGCTTCTTATTTATAATTAATCATATACTTATATTAATAAATTCATTGAGCATTTCATTTTAATGAGCTTTGACTAATTTGTGCTTATCGGATAACTCTCACTAATCAGAATTGGATATTGGCTTTCCTTTAGATAGCGTATAATCTTTATAAATGTCATGTACGGGGAATCACACAAAATTCATGATGGATTTTGAGTTTCAATGATTGAATTACGTGACTGGAATGAAAAAAACTCAGATCAAACAACACTTGGAAGTTGTTTCAATTTTAATGAAAACAAAACACGTAGTGTTCAGCGAAGAGTCTCTTTTCGACGGTGAATTCATTTTCATAGCTCTACAATCGCAAATATATGTGGTTGTTTTGCATGTGTGTGTACATTAAGTTTGTCAAACATAAAAATACAATCGGTTATGGTTATTTTAACTAAACAGGTGAAAATTAGTAAGTTTTGAGTACAGTTACGTAGTACAAGAACTCAAGAAAATTGGGTGTTCATGAGACCAGTGTTGTAACAGAGGTGATGAGTTGTCACAAACAGTTGTTAAAAGAGAGTTACGTAATAATATGAATAATTTTTTTATATTTTTGATTACAGCTTGACTCCACACCGTATTTTTGATACAAGTATGGAATTTTCAGCGTGGATATCGGTAGCCCAAAATTCTCAGGCCGACCATAGATACCAGGTGTGCGTCGGCGTGGGCTCGAACCCCGGACCATGTGCATGGTCGGCGAGAGTCCTAACCACTGTGCCACCGATGACTGAGTTGTACTCAGGATGCATATAGAAATAAAGTAGAGCATGCGAAATTACGTAAGAGTTCGGAATGAATACAAGAATTATAAGCAATTAGAGAAACAAGCAAACAAACAAAATTAAGTCATCAAAAATCAACAAAGTTGTTACAATGATAGTAGAAGTGGTTGAGTAATTCTCTTTTGTATGCACAGCTCCGCTTTTTCTATGTGAATGGCCAGAGCTTCAGCGATACAAAGTAGACGAAACTGTATTGCCTTAGGTGGGTTATTTGTGACTCTGTAGATTACTTTGAAGCAGTAGGCGTTTGTTGAAATGCAATGATCAGTGTTAACCAGGTGTTCAATTATTGCACTCCTTATTGCATAACTATTGCCTCTTCGCAAACATGCTTAATAGTGTTCTTCAATCCTCTTGGACAGAGTGCGCGTCGAACGACCGATGTACTGGCTCCACAGGAGCAGGTGAACTGATATATGCACATAGAAGTGGTCAGATGTGGGGTCTTGTCCTTAAGGCTTCTGTAGATCAGCGGGCGACTGGAGAACACTATTCTCAGTGTTGCTACAAAGAATGTTCTTCTCAAAGATGATGTGATTCTTCTCTTGGGAATATCGCTTGTCAAATCTCCCTTGAAATCCAAGTTCATATAGAGTTTCTTTTTAGGCGCAATTTCAATTTTATTCTGTCTTCCAGAAGCAACTATGCCTTATTTCAGTGAAACAATTTATAGGCACTGAAAGGATTCGCCGCATGGAGTACCTTTCTGGCATGATTTTTAGATTTGCGCGAACTTTAGCCAACTTTGCCTTTTTTCCTGTTCCAGTCTAATTTTTTGTGAAATGTTCTACTAACAATGTGTTGTAGGTTTTTTTTAATTTTTTGTGCAGTAGCCAGTGACTCACATTTATTTGAAAGCTCACAGGACTGTGTTAATGATAACAGCGTTTAAACTTGTGACACGCGGACTAAAAGCAGATTGGCCTAGTTGTCATACATGAAGCATCACTGTTTTAGTCTAGCATGGTGCCATGGCTCAATCCAATTTGTTTTGATATCTTATAGTATTTATTATCTTTGAGTTTTGGGTCAAGAGGCATTCTGTTAGTAGTACATTCTGTAGTAGCAGAGTATTGTGGTGGCTAATAAAACAGTGGAAGTGTGGATTGATCCAGTTTGTTGCATATCTGTGAGATCTTTCGAGGTTGCATTTACCTGCATAAGTCTTATTGAAATTTTATCCTACATCTATCTACCACTTAGCCGCGTAGTTTACAATTTTGATAACTTTCTTCACCACTCTTTTGCGTTTCAAGTTGAAAAGAAACAGGACTGCATGCTTGAGCTTTGAAGTTTCAGTAGCGATGGGGTGGGTTTGCTAGCCCCACTGGATGAAGTTTAGGAGAGTGCCTTTGCCTTGGCAGGGAATCGAACCCGGAGTGCGTATTTGGTTGGCGAATAGTCTTCCATTGAACTACTGAACTACTGCCAGTTTATGCCGTGTCTGGCGTAGACGTGATATCCGACTATCGACCAAAGGGCGGGTGTACTGCTCACCAGTCCACTCCGTCCTCCTTTATGGCTGTGAGACCTGACCATTGAGAGGGGAAGATATGAATAGATTAGCTGTCTTTGATCATAGGTGCCTGAGTTCTATCTCCCGTGTGAAGTGGTATATTAGGGTGAGCAATATTGAGGTTAGGCATCGATCGAGTGCTAGGCAGGGAAGGGAAGTCAATCGACGAGGTTGTGAAGTTACACCGATTGAGATAGTTAGGACATGTGTTACCCATGCCCAGACATCGCCTTCCTCGATGGGCAATGTTAGCTGACATAGGGTCAGGCTGGAAAAGAGCTAGCGGCGGTCAAACCAAAACATGGCACCAGTCAATGAAATCCACAACAGTTAGTTTAAGCCACGTAAGAAGGTGTAGACTGGCTTGCTGTTTAGGGTCCTCGGGACGGTAAAAACCAATGGTTAGAGACAAATGGTGGTATGGCTCCAAATCGTTCTCGATGTCTAACGCAGTTGCATCCACTTCTTCTGACTTATAATGCTCAATAAAACTATATTGTTGTTCCGTAATATTTTTCTTTTTTGCCTCATGTCTCTGTTTACTGTCTCTATTTTGCATTTCTTTTTACTTTCTTCTCTCCTTTTTGTGTGCTGCATGGAGAGAGTGCGGCTACTTGAACTGCCGCACGTCGGTGCAAAGTTCTATGTCGAAAACAAACAGACAGACTGACACTCTTGCCATCTTCTTTTTATCATATTTTTCGGGAATGAATCGCAATTTTGTCTGAAACACATGTCAAACAAGGGAAAATATCTGTTGTTCTAGATATGCATACTAACCTGGAAGTGTCTTCTAGGCTTTTATCGTCTGATGTGTGTAGCTCTCAGTTACGTTCTCTTTTTCAAATGGAAGTTAGTTTTAAACTAGAAGAGAGTTAATTCTTTAAATATTTCACTTAATTAATTAGTTAATTAATTAATTAATTTATTGACTTTTCCCATTGTACACTGCAATTTTGTGAAAAAAATAATAATAATTATAGTTTGATAATTACGATAACTCAGTTTATCGTTTGGACTTCATTACCTGGAATTGGACACAGATAGAAATTCGAGAAGAAATAACACCTTCACTTTCATACTTTCCCACTGAATGCCCTAATATGAATATAGATAATGGTGTGAATTTTACTGACGAAAACAGAATATCAACAAATCAAACATCGTCATCACCATGCTCACAAATTCCTTTACCACGCGATTTCGCCTGTCTTGCCAGTTATCAAGGTCGTATATTTCTATTCGGTGGTCGAAGTAAATCTCCTGATCAAGCAGCAGCATATGATGTCTACGATTCAGCTGTATGGGAACTTATTCCTCTTGTTTATACATCAGCTACTTCATCGTCGAATTCAGTAAATATTTTATCAGAAAAGGAAAGATTAATTCCAGCCAGATGTACTGCATGTGATGAAGAAATGATTGATTGTTTGGGTACGACGCGGAGTCGTTTATTTCGCATTTTGTGGGAAGAAGAAACTGGTAATTGGTTTGGGTAGGTGCTGAAGAACTCAATGTTTGTATATATATGTATATTACTTTTATGCAATTAACAGTGAATTTTCTATCGAATACTATCTTCACCTGTCTGTACTTGTGTTAAGTTAAATTCGGAGGTTTTGATTGAATTGAGTGAAGCATACTGCCTCAAATATATTACTCTCACTCTACTTACCAAGTAGTATCTTTTGTCTCCATCAAAACCGTTGCGTTCCCTTTATGCTTTTTTCATTGTATTTAACACTGTTTCCACTGGAACTTAGATCCAGTATCCATTTCAAATGTCAGCGTTAAAATAAAACTTAAAAATGTTCATTAGATATTAATTGTTGCTGCTGATGTGGGAGAATCTGGGTTCGACTCGTGATCGACGCACTCCTAAACCTCACCTAGTCTAACAGCCAGTAGCAGTAAGCCAAGAGATGAGGAAAGTTTAGACCTGAGGCTAGCAATCCTACCCCGTAAATACAGCACACCACTGATACCGAAGTTCCCAAGATTGAGGCTGAATGTTCCACTGCGTATGCTGTACAGCTGGTGTGTGTGTGTGTGTGTGTGTGTGTGTGTAACGGAGGCATATAAGAGGTCTTCAAATCTTCAGTTTTGTGTTTCCACTCGTTTGATTCCTGTGGCTATACTGCGATTATCGTTGTGCTCAACAACTCTCTGGTCACCTTTGCTCACCTAGCTCAGAGACTTGGCGTGCGCGCCACGAAGAGCATTTTGGACAGGCTGCTGCAAACTTTTGTCAATAGCTACCTTAATTGGTTCACCACTGAAGGTCAGATGGCAATACGAAACTCTGGAGACGAAACAACCAACAACCAAGTGCTCAACAAATATGCAGACGGAGATGGAGATGGATTAGATGCACACTGAAGATATCGCCGCATAACATTACGCGCTAGGCATAATTTCGAGTGGTACCCGAAAAGGGGACGACAATTTGGGCATCGCTTTGTGGATGACATGGATGAGATCTTGTGAGGAGGAGGAGGAGGAGATGATGATAGAGCATATGGGCAATCGTGGGGCCAGCTAAGAAGCACTGCAAAGAATAGAGTGAAATGAAGATGTGTTGCTGAAGCCGTATGCTCCACTCGGAACCCAAGGGAATATGTTATGGCTGGAACTAAGACCTAGTAGACTGAGTGAATATTAACTCAATGCGCTGGCTAATCTGTCCTAATCGCACTTCAATAATAATAATAGTAATACCCCTGGGCCACAAAAGATAGACAAGAAGACTGGACATTGGTAAGAGAGCTTTTACTATCTTAAAACAACATCTAGAAAAAGGTTGACAACGCTTGCTTACACACATGTTCAAAATGACCTTGAGAGCCACGAATGTTATTGATAAATTAAGACTGTGAACAGCCAGTAGGATTTCAAAGGTCACACAAGTAAGGGTAGAGAAAATTAGCTCATAGAACAATAGGTGGAGTGAGAGAAATACAAACAGACATGTTGGAAATTAGGTTTATGTATCAGAATAACGACAATAAAACACAGTTGGTGTGGCTCGATGCTAGTTACGTGTAAACGTAAGCGGTTATAGAGCAGCATTTCTTTGATTTTATCTCTCGTTTTTCCTTGGTGTGTGTCGTTATCCTTCTATTCTCCCTTTTTTCATTCGCCTCGCTTAGGCCTGAGTTCTGGGCAACTTGTCCTCCTCGACCGTGTTGTTTATGGAAATTTCTTAATAGTAAAGCTAAAAGGAAATCAAAAAACAGACGTCATAATTACAAGTTACCTACACAATATCGATCTCGTTGGTCTAGTGGTAGTGCAGTTTGGGTTGTTCGTCATTCAGGTCATGGTTTACAAACACCAGAAGTTTTAATACCAGAATTACTCAATAAAATCAATGCGTCATCATCATCATCAACAGCAGCAACACTTGATGATGCACAATTACCGTTTTTACAACCATCCTTTAAATTAAATTCACCTTATGGTCGTAGAAGTCCTTCACATTGTAAGTTGATGGTATTTTCAACTGTATTCCACTTTTTAGGTATATATTTTAGTTATGTATGCTTGAAAAATTTGCGAAAAATCAAATCTAGTTCTTACTGTTATTGTTAATCTTTTTTCATCATGAGCTGACATCAGCTATAGAACCATTGTGAAATCTGGGAGTACTGGAGAGCTGTTTCGTCCTAGTTTGCAACTCTTCAATGGGGTTCATCCACCAGTGGGATAAAAGCAGGTCAGGTGTGAGGATGAATACTCGCCAGCGATGATATTGGTTAGTCATCGCGCTATATCATGGATTGTTTGGTGGAAGTTAGAATTCATTCATGGACTGACCATTGGATCGGGTCGGGTCCCAGCGGGTAAATGGTCTACGAGCCTTGTGATCAGAAGGTCCTGGGTTCGAGCCCCCTGTCCGTGGTGTGCCAGACGAGGGCGAAATAGCTGCTCAGTACTCCAGCATTGGTTTTCCAATTGTTCTCTAACCGATGTCAACTCATGATGAAATCCTGTAAGCAATCAATCAAATCTCTACAAACGAACGGTCGAATATCTTTTTACTCTTGTAGTGGAAGTAACAATGCCCTGCATACTTAGGACGATTATTGTTCGCTGCACTTAGTAAACGTTCATTGGTATTATCACGTACATTATTATCGTCATTATGACCTGTCGAATAAAATACCTAAGTTTTAGCTGATGACTTCAAACCACACTCCACTTACCTTAGCTTAAATGGTTTAGTTGAATTGTAACGGGATATGACAAAAAACTCGATAACAGAATGTTTATTTGCCATTTTTGTCTACACATATAGAAAAATAATGTACACCTGATAGTAAAATCGTCATTCGCTCAGATCTTCCATGTTGTGCCACTTCCGCCCTTCTTATTATTGTATTTATTTATCTTCTTTTTATGTCCCTCATGTTCTGCTGAAATACTGGTTCATTAGCTCTCTTTGACGTCAAATCTATATCTCCGCTATTTGATATTTTTGTGGTACGATGAATATCTCTTTATGCACTGCTGATAACTCTTGTCATAGGCTTTCCCCATCAAGGGTTGTAGATCAATACTTATTACATAAACGTGTACTGAATTGCTCAATTACATCGATAGGGTCGTTCATTTATTCATGATCAATAAGTTAATCATCTCGTGATAGGAATGATAGACTGAATTGTGGGGGTGGGTGGTTTTATTATTGTTATCTTTTTATTGTTCCCTTGGGTTCCTAGTGGAACATAGGGCTTCAACTCCACGTCTCCATTTGCTTCTGTCTTCCTTCTGCTGTACTTTTCACTTGTATCCATGTTAGTCCATACTCTTTCAACTCCTCTCTCTTCACACGATCTCCTCCATGTCACCCTTGCACTGACGACCCACTCGCCGCTTCCCTTTCAGCCTGGTTCCACTCGAGGGCTTGACGCGCGATGTTACCAAGGGGCCGGCCTCCTCAGCGAGTGTCCGATCCATCTCCACTTTCTCATGCATATTTGTTGGGGGCGATTGGTTCTTGCTTTGTTTGTTTGTTTCAGGCCATAGTTTCTTTTTGGTGATTCTTTCCGGCCCGGCCATTTGATCTTCAGTATAGATCCAGCGAAGACAGTTGTTAATAAAGGTCTGAGTTAGCCTGTTGGAAATATTCTTTGTGACCCGCCCGCCAAGTTTCTGATCCGTATAGAAGAACTGACTGACTTGACGTTGTTTGTGTTGAAAATCCGACCGAATTTTGTTGTTGATGCTGAGTGACGAAGGTTTCCAGATTGGTTTTAGGTTAGTTGGTGAATATGTTTCTCGCCTTCCCGATTCTCGCTCGATTTGACATCCTCGTCCGTTCCGACTGTCTGAAGTTGAGACAATGCTCCCTAGATAAGTGAAGTGAATGAAGTAACCTCTTTCGAATCGGGTGGGTGGTTGGGTGAGTTAAATGGACAATGGGATTTCAGATGTGCTGCTCAAGAATTGTGTTCCCCTTTTTCTCTCTCTCTCTCAAATATTCGATGTACAATATAAAAATTCTTGAATGGCAGTAAAACGTGCGCCGTCGAGCTCATCAGTTTTGTTCAGATGTATTTTGACACAGTCATTCATTGGATCGATAAAAGAGGACAGCCATCTACTACTAATGAAATTTACCCCAGTTTATGCAATAAGTATCTAGTTTGCTTTATTAGAAATATTTGAAATCAGGCGTTGATTGTTAGATAAGAATGGCAATGTCGATGATAGATGACAGCGTGATGAGCTACATAGATTGAGTTGGCTTGGTCACGTATTATTCATCATCAAGCAGTGTTAGTTGACATAAGATTAGGTTAGAAAAGAGTTAGAGGGTGGGGGGGGGAGGTAAAACCAATACATACAGGCGGTTGGTTGAAGTCAGCCATGTAGGAAGGTGTCGCGACTGCCTGGTTGGCATCTTCAGGATGCTAAGAACCAATGACGGCTGAAGACTATTGGTGATATGACTCAAAATCGTTTTCAGTGACACAAATGCATTCACTCATGGGAAATCCTCATATTTTTCTGTGTTTACTATTCTTTCTCTCAGAGTCTGCAGAGTCCTCTTAACACTTTGAGATGCAATCTGCGAATGTTTTGCATGCGACTCACTCCCGCCATTTGTTTTCAACCATTAGTTTTTACCGTCCCGAGGACACCAACAAGGAAGTCTACACCTTCCTACGTTACTGGCTTAAACTAACTGTTGTGGATTTCATTGACTGATGAAGCCTTGTTTTCGTTTGGCTGCCGCTAGCTCTTTCCCAGTCTGACCCCATGTCCGCTAACATTGCCCGTCGGTCGAGGAAGGCGATGACTAGGCAAATGTAACACATGTCCCAACCATCTCAGTCGATGTAATTTCACAGCCTCTTCGATTGATTTCCCCTGCTTACCTAGAACTCGACGCCTAACTTCCATATTGCTCATCTTATTATACCACTTCACACGGGAGATAGAACGGAGGCACCTATGATCAAAGACAGCTAGTCTTTTCATGTTGTTGTTGTTGTTTTTAGTTTATATTTTTGTAGAATGGTTATTATTGTTGTTATTCTATTACAATTGGTTTTACATTAACTAATTCTATCTAATCTATTTAGGGTTATACAACGGTAATTTATATATCGCTTTTGGAGCTATTCGATCTCAAACAGGTCAAGGTGTACAACTGCATTATCAAGATGTCTGGCGGTTTAATCTATTCACGTATATTTGGACACAAGTATGTACGTCATCATCATCGTCATCCAGTTTCCAAATCCACCTGCCTTCAGCTCGTCGACGTGCTATAGCTTGTCTACATATAGCTGCTCCAAATATCTCATCTAACAATGATGATGGTGATAATAATAATAATAATAATAATAATAGTCTGTCAATGAAACAAAAGCCACGTGTTTATGTATTCGGTGGGACACAACCAAGGGTATTGAATAAGAAAATTAATAATTATTCACAATCTTTGCATCATATGTCAACTACTACTACTAATTCTACTTCTACCTCTGCTTCTTTTTATAATTCATTGCCGCATAGACGTTCACTTAATATAAACTGGCGTAAGTATTATTATCATCATCATTCTTCTTCTTCTGTTTCTTAGTGCTATTTATACTTTTATTCTTAAAATTTTCTTGTGTTTGTCTGTGGTGAGAGCTGACTGTTAGCCAAAATTGATGAACAGTAATTTTACGCTAATATTTATGTCCCCAATATTGGTCGTGCGAAAAATGAGAACAAAGGCTTTGTGTCTGTCTGTCTGTCTGGATTCAACATAGAACTTGGCACCGAAGTGCACCAGTTCGAGTTGCCACGTTCCAAAATAGCACACAAAGGTAGACAAGAAGATGAGTGAAGAGAATCAATAGAGTTTGACAAGTATAAGAGTGAAACAGAATGGGTAATGGTAGAAAGGGAATATGAAAGATTACAGAGACTGAATACATCTTCGCTGGCCATTGACAACGATTTTGAGCCATGTCACCTATTGTCTCCAGCCATTGATTCTTAGAGTCAGTCCCGAGGGCCCCGACCCGGAAGTCTGCATCTCCCTACCTGAATCAGTTTAACCGTCAAGGATTTCATGGATTGACGCCGTGTTTTTGTTTGGCCACCACTTACTCTTTTCCAACCTGCAGGCTTTGCGTAGGCGGATGCAGTTAACATATAGATGATTTGTTGCCTGGCCCTTGTCTTCTGTCGTTACATATCGATGTTTACTTTTGACACAGAAAATTGTTTGATTAGATATAAAAGAATGAATAATATAGGAGGAAGGAAGGAAGTAAGACAGAGAGAGAGAGAGCTGTACACTAGACTTTTATTCCAAGTAATGAGGATTATTCATTCTTCTTCTTATTATTATTATTATTAGTGTATACCTGATCGAAACAAATTAGATTTTCAGCTAGTTAGAAGAGGAGGAAGAGACCGTCGAATGTGACATTGTGCTCCAGGTATGAAATCAAGTGGGATCCAAACGGGAAACGACGAGTTGGCGCGTCGCTTCGTCGGTGACATGGAGGAGATCGTGCAGCGAGGAGGAGGTGAGAGAATATGGGTATTCCTAATTTGAGGATCGTCGGCAGTACGCACCCACCACATTGGGGTTCGAACCCAGGACCTGCCGATCACAAGGCTAGCTGGTTCGTATACCATTCAGTCACTAACTGGGATCCGATTCAATGGCCAGTGCATGAATTCTAACTTCTACCAATTCGTGATGTATTTAGCGCGACTGGCACCAACCAATGCCATCGGTGGGAAATCTGTCCTCACACTTGACTGGCTGGACCTCACTGGTCATGACTTCTCACTAGAACTAACTCCAGAAAACTCCGTCCTGTAGCCAGTCAGTCACTAGCGAGCGTCAGATTAATTTTCAAGAGTTGGGGTTTGTAAGGATTAGATTTGTTTTTTGTTTTTACGAGTTTGACCACGCACAGATTGATATCAGTTAAAGAACCATTGAAAACCATCTGCGGCCGCGCGGGGGGGGTCGAGTACTGGACAGCCAACTGTTTCATCCTAGTTTTTGAGAGTTATCGGCAGTATGCATCATCCACCACAGTTGGGGTTCGAACCCAGGACCTGCCGGTTACAAGGCAAGCTAGCTGGTTTTGCCATTCGCATTCTTGCTCACCGTTTTTTTCTCTGTTGTATTTTTTCTTTCAAATTCTTCTTTCTTGTTTTTTTCCCTCCCTCAAGGTAATAATCGAACTCAGAATGAAATTCTTGGCCTACATAAATGCATAGCATTTACTGCAGTTTTATGTATTCAATCCAATTCATCTGATAATGGCAATGGCATGAAGTGTGGTGGTGGTGGTGGTGGCGATGGGAGTGGCGGTTCTACACCGAATAATGCATCGTCATCCTCAAACACAACCATAACTAAATTTCATCTTATAATTATTATGCCACGGGATAATCCTCCTATAAGAGATAATTTCTTTGTATTATCGAATTTATTTATTATTAATTATGATGAATTGTCTGTCGTTTTCAATGACAGTAGTACCACTTCTACTACTACAGTAATACTAGCAATGTAAGCCATTCATCATTTATCAGGCATCTTCTAACATCAGCTTTCCAAAATTCTTTATCTATCGATGACGATATTAATTCATTGCGTGACAATCGATCTGCTGAAAAAGTGTTCTTTATTTTTAAATTAGCCTGGTTAACTTTATGCACAAGACGTGATAGTTCTGTATGTCGAACACGTTGTCATGGTGATGATGATAAGACAGACAATACTGAAGCCTCTTCCTCATCGTCGGCGTCGGCGTCGTCATCACAATTCCACATTTATTTTATCCTCAGTGATGTATTAGTAGGGGAGGAAATTTTATTAGAGTATGTTTTTTTTTTAAATTTTTTTGTGTTTGTTTTTTTACGAGTTGATCATGAATCGATATCAGTTAGAGAAGCATTGAAAACCAGCTGGGGGAGTACTGGACAGCCAGCTGTTTCATCCTAGTTTGGGAATCATCGGCTGTACGCACCCATCACAGTGTGGTTCGAACCCAGGACCTTCCAGTTACAAGGGAAACTAGCTCGTATACCATTCAGCCACTGGAACCCCATTCAATTTCCAACTGATGAATTCTACCAATTTGTGATTTAGCGCGACCTCAACCATTGTCTTAGGTGGAACATCCATCCATATACGTGACATCTAATTGGACCTCACTGGTCACGACTTCTCACTAGAAATTCAGGAAACTCCATCCTGTAGCAAGTCACTAGCGAACATCAGATTAATTTTCTATAGTTTGGTTTGTAAGGGTTTGTTATGTTTTTACGTCAATCACCATCAACGGGAGGGATTTGAAAGAGGTTACTTCATTCATTCACTTATCTAAGAAGCATTGTCTCAACTTCAGACAGTCGGGACGGACGAGGATGTCAAATCGAGCGAGAATCGGAAGGCGAGAAACATATTCACCAACTAACCTGAAACCAATCTGGAAACCTTCGTCACTCAGCATCAACAACAAAATTCGGTCGGATTTTCAACACAAACAACGTCAAGTCAGTCAGTTCTTCTATACGGATCAGAAACTTGGCGGGCGGGTCACAAAGAATATTTCCAACAGGCTAACTCAGACCTTTACTAACAACTGTCTTCGCTGGATCTATACTGAAGATCGAATGGCCGGGCCGGAAAGAATCACCAAAAAGAAACTATGGCTGGAAAGAAACAAACAAAGCAAGAACCAATCGCCCCCAACAAATATGCATGAGAAAGTGGAGATGGATTGGACACTCGCTGAGGAAGCCGGCCCCTTGGTAACATCGCGCGTCAAGCCCTCAAGTGGAACCAGGCTGAAAGGGAAGCGGCGAGTGGGTCGTCAGTGCAAGGGTGACATGGAGGAGATCGTGTGAAGAGAGAGGAGTTGAAAGAGTATGGACTAACATGGATACAAGTGAAAAGTACAACAGAAGGAAGACAGAAGCAAATGGAGACGTGGAGTTGAAGCCCTATGTTCCACTAGGAACCCAAGGGAGCAATAATAATAATAATGTTTTAACGAGTTGATAATGGATTGATATCAGTTAGAGAACCATTTAAAACCAGGGAGTACTGGACAGCTTCTGTTTCATCCTAGTTTGGGAATCATCGGCTTTCAAAGGGATTTTAAAATGATTTGCTTACCAGCAATTGAATAGGCGCTTTATTTCAATTCATCATAAGGAAAATATAACACAGTTCTTGTTCAGCGAAAAAATATTCGCAACATATGTGTGCCCGTGTCCTTGTCAATCAATAATGTAGCATCAAAGCGTGTCATCGGTCGGTGGCACAGTAAGTGGTTAAGACTCTCGCCGACCATGCACATGGTCCGGAAGTTCGATCCCCTGCTACCGACGACGTACACCCGATCGATATCTATGATCGGCCTGTAAAATTTGGCCTACCCGATATCACGTTCTGAAGATTCCATACTTGTACCGAAAATATATGCGATGTGGCATCAAGCTGTAATCAAAAAAAAAAGAAAAAAATAGTAGAGTCTATCCTTAACCTCAATGATTTGACTCGCCTTGTGATGGTGTGATACAGACAATGTGTGTGTTGTTCCAACGGAACATTGTTCTCGCATATTCCTACAGTTCTGTACTGCATTAGCAACTGAATGCCATGCATATTTGAAAACATTCTATTGCATCTTGTTTGATGTAAACCAAAATCACACGCTCAGTGATTGGTTAAATAATATAAGACTGTATATGTATGTATAAACAGCGGTTTGATCAATGCAATTACAGTTCATTAAAGATGCTTAATTTATAATAGTTATAAAAATATAATAGCGAATAGAATATCAACTAAAATTATGGAAATTCCACAAAAATTCAGGATCATTCAAACCTGGATGGCCAAGGTAATGAGACTGTCTAAACTAACTTCTTTTGGATGCATAAATTAGTCTTGTTAATATGGATCCCAACAGCCAGCCTCAGCAATATTTAGTAATCAAACTCTTAAGGCAAAATTGAGATTCATAGGTATGCGGTAAATGAATGACCCTGAAAGCATGGTTAAGATCAATCTTGTGTTCTGTATCCACAAGATGAGATAGAATAGCGCTGCAAATAGACTTTGTTTGTCCTTTGCTTAACCACTATGCAGAGTGATGTTCGGAAATTCCACGAGAAACACGCCTAATTGTACGGCCTATGTAACTGGCTCACTCCATAGGAGCAGTTAAATTGATAGACACACACGGAAGAGGCGAAATTAGGCAGTTTGTCTTTTACTCCCGAACGCAGAACAGGAGTGGTTGTGCAGATACAACGTAATTCAGCAGCAGGGAATGCTCTATTTACCACCTCATTTCAAAGGCTCTGTGTTAGTATCTCATTGGTGTTGTCTGTCCCTAAGGAACTGCATCCGTGAGAATAAGGCCTTTTTTTGGAACTGTTGGTAACTTGGGCTGCTTTGGTTTCAGATTCATATTCTTATCAATAAACTTTTCAGGATAACCATTTTCACTTAGCAACCGTTTAATATTTATTCAGTTCTCTCATCAAGACATTCGTTCGAGCAAATCGCTCTTGCTCTGTGATGAACCAGGCACTTTATCAAATTGCGTTTGTATTTCAAGGGCACAAACAAAGCTGAGAAAATGTGTGTATAGGCCCGTTGGTATAGGCTATCTATAAACACTTCTTATTGTGCCTGTTGTGAACTTTCCTATAATACGTATCTAATCATATTCCTATCTCTACCGCTATTAACACGCTTTTTTCCTTTATACGTTCAAGCCATTCTGGCTTCATTGTAAAATGAATAAAGCCTAAATTCTTGGTTCATTCGTCTTTTCAAGATTCAAGCATCACTCATCGTTCTAAGACTCAATCACCTTCGTAACAATTTATTCATTTTACAATATTCATGGAACGATTTTTCCGACCTGATCGGTTCGACGTAGAACCTAACGCAGTTGGAGCTGCCAAGAAGTGGGATCACTGGTTTGCGACTTTTCCTACTTCATTGAATCAATGGGATCCGAAAATCCTTCGAAACTACATATTCTCTTCAATCATATTTCTACTTCTGTATACGAATGCATTTCTGAATGCAAAACATACGAAGAAGCTATCGACACTCTCAAGAGTCTCTACATGCAGCCTTGCAACGAAGTGTTTGCTCGACACTTGTTAGCAACGTGTAAACAAGAATCTGGCGAAAATCTGGATCAGTTTGTTCGTCGACTCAAGTCGCTGACTACAGATTGTTCATTCAGAGCAGTTACAGCCGAAGAACATCGTAACGAATCTCTACGTGATTCATTCATCTCAGGTATACAGTCTTCGATGATACGCCAGAGGCTATTAGAACAGCGTACTTTAACTTTTCAAGCGGCATACGATCAAGCACGAGCTCTAGAGATGGCACATCAACAATCGCAGTCATACAACAATCCTGTTACACCTTGCGCGTCCATTTCTTTACATGATGTACCTCATTCATCAGATTCCACACCCTCCGTCAATGAAACAACCATTGCTGCCGTTGAATCCAAATGCTTTTTCTGTGGTAATCGTAGACATCCTCGTTCCAAATGCCCCGCCCGTGATGCAGTTTGCAAAGCTTGTGGCAAGCAAGGACATTTTCAGAAGGTTTGCAGGTCTGCGCCATCTACGAAAAAAGGTCCATCTTCAGTTAACTCTATAATTTCATCTCTCGTTGTGGCTTCAGCACCTCAAAGTCTCACTGATGCTGTTACGCAGCTTACTGTCAATGGGAAATCAATGCAAGCTCTAGTGGATACCGGAAGCAGTGAGAGCTACATCTCTTCCTCAGTTGTTCGTAAGTATAACTGGAAAGTCCATAAGTCTCGAAACAGAATCACAATGGCGAGTACGAATCTTACTAGTCATACTGAAGGACATTGTTTTCTATCCATCTGCTATAAAAACCACACTTATGATCTATTCAAATTTTCCATTCTTCATAATTTATGTGCAGACGTCCTTCTTGGACATGATTTTTTAAAACTTCACAAACACATTGAGATTCCTTTTGGGGGATCAAAGCCGCCTTTTTCTCTCTGTGGTCTACCTTGTGTTCGCGTCGACCTGCCTACTCTGTTTGAAAATCTTTCAAAAGACTGTAAACCGATCGCGATAAAATCCCGGCGTTATTCTCGTGAAGATGAAAGTTTTATTTCCACCGAAGTCAACCGGTTACTGCAAGAAGGTGTTATTGAACCTTCTAATTCTCCTTGGCGAGCTCAAGTTCTTGTTACGTCAAACGAACGCCATAAAAAGAGGATGGTAGTTGATTATAGTCAGACAATCAATCGATTCACTTTTCTGGATGCTTACCCATTACCTAGGATTGACGAAATGATAGAAAAAATCGCACAATATGACATATTCAGCACTCTTGATCTGAAGAATGCTTATCATCAAATTGCCCTAAGGAACGAAGATAAACCATATACTGCTTTCGAGGCTTGTGGGAAACTTTACCAATTTTGCCGAATTCCTTTTGGTGTTACCAATGGCGTAGCTTGTTTTCAACGCATTATCGATGAATTGATCAGTAAAGAACAACTCACAAGCACGTTTGCCTACATTGACAATGTCACTATCTGCGGCAAAACTCAGGAGGAACACGACAAAAATCTAAACAAGTTTATGGTAGCAGCACGCAATTATGGAATAACCCTTAATGATTCCAAAAGTGTGATCTCAAGCAGAAGCATACAATTACTCGGTTATGAAGTTTCAAAGGGGTTATTAAACCAGATCCCGATCGGCTAAAACCTCTTCGTGATCTAGAACCACCCACAGATATCAAATCTCAACAACGGGCCGTTGGATTATTTGCTTATTATTCACAGTGGATCCCTCGCTTCTCAGATAAAATCCACCCATTGGTAAATAATCGGATTTTCCCTCTTGATATCGAAACTCGAAATGCTTTTGACAAACTGAAAGACGACTTAGAACGTGCAGTCGTTGTGGTAGTTGATCCGAAAGCACCCCTTGTTGTTGAAACAGATGCTTCAGATGTCTCAATTGCAGCTACATTAAACCAGAATGGTAAACCTGTCGCCTTCTTTTCTCGAAGCCTCTCTCGAAGTGAGAAACATCATTCATCGGTTGAGAAAGAAGCCTATGCCGTGGTTGAAGCAATTCGTAAGTGGAAGCATTACCTTCTCGGAAATCACTTCAAACTTGTCACTGATCAACGTTCAGTAGCATTCATGTTTGACAAGATTCATAAAGGCAAAATCAAGAACGATAAAATAATGCGTTGGAGAATTGAGCTATCCCCTTATCAATATGACATCATTTATCGTCCTGGAAGGGATAATCAAGCTGCTGATACATTTTCCCGTAGTTTCTGCGGTTCCTTGCAGTCAGTGTGCGACTTGAAATTTCTCCATGACTCTATGTGCCATCCTGGAGTTGTCCGAATGATGCATTTTGTACGCTCGAGAAACCTTCCATTCTCCCTTGACGAGGTGCGCAATGTAACCAGTAAATGCGTGACATGCTGTGAGTTAAAGCCTCAATTTTACAATCCCTCTAATTTCAAACTCATAAAAGCAACCCAACCTTTTGAAAGGTTAAGCATCGACTTTAAAGGACCTCTACCGTCAGCTAGCCGCAATCACTATCTGCTCACGCTGATCGATGAATATTCTCGATTCCCCTTTGCATTCGCCTGCCCCGACATGTCGTCTCAAACGGTAATGAATTGCCTTTGCCAACTGTTTTCGATTTTCGGTATGCCTTCTTACATACATACCGACAGAGGCGCTGCTTTCATGTCTACCGAATTACGGGCATTTCTTCTGGAGAAAGGCGTAGCAACCAGTCGTACTACCTCATACAATCCTCAAGCCAATGGGCAGGTCGAGCGCCTCAATGGAACACTTTGGCGTGCCATCACTCTAGCATTAAGATCACGGGGCCTACCAACGGCACAATGGGAGTCTGTTCTACTCGACGCCTTGCATTCCATCAGATCTTTGCTCTGTACTGCAACGAACGCCACGCCACACGAACGACTGTTTACCTATAACCGAAGATCGACATCTGGGACAACTCTTCCTACTTGGCTCACTGTACCAGGACCAGTACTTCTCCGGCGGAGTGTTCGTCAGTCCAAATTCGATCCCCTGGTTGAAGAGGTGGAGCTATTGAATTGTAACCCGCAATTCGCTCACGTTCGCTTCGGTAATGGACGTGAAGATACAGTTGCTCTTCATCATCTGGCACCCAAAGGCGAAGATATAGATCAAGTTGAAAATTCAATACCGGAGGGCGACGCAATTCCTGAGCAACAAGTAAATGGGGATGCGACCACTGATCCTAATATTCTTCGTGAAGAAAATACAACTGAAACGAACAACGGGCGTATTCTTTTGGAAAAACAACAACGTGTACGGCCTTACAATTTGCGTACCAGAGAAGCGTGACATAATGGCTCATTCCTTTTCAAGCCGCAGTGAATGTTGTGAACTTTTCTTATAATACGTATCTAATCATATTCATATCTCTACCGCTATTAACACTCTTTTTTCCTTTATATGTTTAAGCCATTCCGGCTTCATTGTAAAATGAATAAAGCCTAAATTCTTGGTTCATTCGTCTTTTCAAGATTCAAGCATCACTCATTGTTCTAAGACTCGCAGTCACTTTCGTAACAGTGCCATCCTCTTTTTTAAAAGAGGAGCATTCATTCTCTAGTTTCGCTTCGATTGCTCAAAATAAATGATTTTGTTTATGGTGTATGAATATATATATATATATATATATATATATATATATATATATATTCTTTTCTCTCTCTCTCTCCGAAATATTTCAGTGGTACAATTTATGAAGTCGAAGAACCATATATATTAGAAGAGTATATATTCTCTCAGAATTCACCTATGGTTATAAAACAATATGGTAACAGACTGACTGTATCACCTTCAGTCAGTGCATATTTAAAACCGATTATTTATATCCTACTGGAAGCAATTGAACGCACATTACATCATACATCATGCTTGAAGTATGCACCATCATCTAATTATTCGCTGACTAATAATAATAATAATGTTAATAATAATAATAAACGTTTTAATTTATTAACTTATAAAACAAATTTTACATATTCTGATGATCCTCATGCTAGTGAAGCGATAGAAAGTAGCACTGCAACTACTCGTGTATATATCGATGTGCTTCAACTGATGAATCGTATAGTCACATGTAATAATAATAATAATAATAATAATAATAATAATAGAACAAATGAAACAGATGACAGCAATTTGTTATTATTATCATCATCATTAATGAACACTGCCAATATCACATCTCCGTCATTTTCTAATGCCACTGCTATTGCTTCATCGTCATCACTGTCGGTTTCCTCTTCGCCTCCTTCTCGGTGTTGTTGTAAATATCATACCTTAAAATCAATAATCTTATCTCAAACCAATGATGTCAATCTACAAGGGACTGTTGCCTCAATATTAATTGAATATATCAACTCCATTCAAAATATCCTTCCTTCATTATTATTAGATGGGAGTAGAACAATATCATATCATCATCAACAAGGGACAAGTCATCTTTCATGCACAAATTCTGTTGATGATAATAGAAGACGTAAGTTTTTATTAGAGTGAGTATATATACATCTTATTATTATTATTATATCCTTTAATTCCTAGAGGAACATAGGGCTTCAGCCACACGTCTCCATTGCGTTCGGTTCTCTGCCAACTTTTTCACCCCGCTCCAAGTCTGCCCACATGCTTACATCTCCTCTTCACACCACTTCCTCCAGGTCACCCTTGCACTGACGACCAACTCGCCGCTTCCCATTTGGTTGGGTTCCACTCTAGCGATGGCTTGTCTAGTGATGTCACTTGATGGTTTCCTCAGAGTATGGAAAATCCACCTACCTCCACTAATTCCTGCCTATTTGTTTCACCATCGGTTCCTGGTTGGTTCGCTCATTGCTAGAGATCCCTCCCTGTTTCTGATCTTTTCTGGCCGATCATCTGAACTTGAATAGTATTGAGCGAAGACAGCTAGCTGTTGATGAAGGTCTGTAGTTTGTTTGAGGTGCTCTTTATGACGCGCAGTGCAAGTCTCTGATCCGTATAGTAAGTAGCACTGACTGACTTGACATTGGAGTTGAAAATCCGGATCTTATTTTTGATGCTGAGTGCTGTTGTCCTCCACACAGACTTGATAGTAATGAAAGCTTGTCTTGCTTTTCCGATCCTCGCTGCTTTGATATCCTCGGCAGTTTTGACTGTAGTTGAAACGATGCTTTCTAGGTAGGTAGGTAGGTAGGTAAAAGAGGTTGTTTCTTTCAGGTTCCTCCCATTTATGCTGGCTGATTGTTGTCTGTTGGTGTTGGCGAGGAATCTTCATCACCTCTGTTTTCTCTATGTTCACCTGAAGGAAGTCGTATCTTTGATGCTTCTTCATCGCCAACTTGTTGCTTCTCACTTGCATATCTTCCAGTTTGTGGGAAATCAGACGTGTGTCATCGGCGAAGTTCAGATCCTCCAAGTTTTTCGTGAGGTGCCATTTTATGCCTGTTTCCTCATTACTCGCTCTCTATCGCATTATCCAATCTATAGCAATCAGGAAAATCATTGGCGATAGTAGGCAGCCAGCCAGTCAGCCTTGTCTTACTCCCGTCTTCACCTCGAAGGATTCCATGAGTTTCCCATTGTAGATTACTTGGCATGCAGCATTGTAGTACAACTGTTGGATGAGATGTATAATTGTCGGTGGCGAAGTAGTTGCCAAATCACTTCTCAATTGACGCTGTTGAAGGCCTTTTCAAAGTTGATGAAGTTGACACTACATGACCACTTCATAATGTCTTCGATGAGTAACTGTCTTGGTCTACTTGAAAATTGATCTGATGCTCACCGGCAACTAGCCTATTCAGGCAGTTACCTGAGGCTCTAGTGAGAAGCCGTGACCAGTAGGGTACAGCAGGTTGAAGGTTAGGCAGTAATTCATCGAAGGAGAGATTGTGAAGTAGTTGGATTATGTCAGGAATTGGCAGAAGTTGGAATGCATGGGCTGACCATTGGATCGGGTAGGTCCCAGTGGCTGATGAATGGTCTATGAGTTAGTTGGCCTTGTAACCAGAATGTCCTGGGTTCGACCCCCGGCAGTGGATGCATACTAATAGGGAGTTCCAAACTAGGACTCCGTCCTGGCTGTCGAGTACTCCGTGGTTGTTTTCCAATGGTTCTCTAATTGGTGTCAGCTCATGATGAAATCCTCCAACCAATCAAAACTATAAATACTTGAAAATGTGTATTGGTTAATCACACAAAACTGTTGATTGCAAACCTTTTAAGATCTGATCAGGAACTGAGCTAAAGAAAACTTCAGTAGGGATTAACTCTTTATGATCATGTTGATGTTGATGATGATGATGATGTGTGTGTAAAAGCTTTCAACTTTAGCTATTATACTATTACAGTTGTATATATTTCGATAACAAAAATTATTATTCTTTCTCTCTCTCTCTCTTTAGATTCATCGAGCATAAATATGATTGATCGTAATTCTGGTCGACTTATAGAATCGTCTTCATCAACTAATACACCAAGAGTATTAGAACTTGTACAATATATTTGTACTGAAAGACAACGACTCAATGAGAATCAGTTGAGTTTAATAAGAAATCGTATGCTTAGCAGTGAAAATTTGTTCACTTTAAATCATTTTCGTATACTAAATACTGAAAATCCTTTTGATACTGACAGTGATACTGATGATGATGATGAGGAGGAGGAGGAGGAGGAGTTGGGGAGGAGGAGGATTATGACGACGACGACGTCGACATGGACGTCGAATTTGAAGACGATAGTGAACAGTTAACAGATTCTAAAGATACTGAAATTCACTTGATACCAAATATCGGTGTCATTTCAAAGGGTATTGAAGGTAAGTGAGTATTGATGACTTAACGCTTAAATTATGCAAGATGAAAATTTGGCTTTTTTATGTGGTTGTGTTCTCTGAGCTAGCTGGAGACTTAATTTGCGAAGCTTTCATCGCCCCACTACTAGGCGACATCTTCAGCGAATACTTCAATCTGTTGAAGTGAGCTTTTAGATTTCTACACGAGTTTATTAATCATACCTCCTGATAGGTGACCTTGGACGTCATGATTGGTTGTTTTTGTGTGTTTTTGCACACCATCTAGGTTACTTGTATTGGAACTGATTTTTCCTTTGATTTGAACTTTGACCCTTTGTGTGTGAAGTTTATTTCTTATCGGTTGATAAATTTTGTCCATCTCGATGTGTCTATTGATTGACGATTCACTAGAATACCAAACGGACTTCTAAAAATTCTCTAGCATTCTTGGCGTTTCCTGTGTCTAATATTTGAATGTTGGCCCAGTCGAATTGATGTCCGTGGTTGTCTGTATGTAGGGATATGAGGGAGTGGATATCATGTCTTTTGACGGCTAGCTTATGTTTGTGGATATGCAGACGAAGAGGACGTCCACTTTGGCCAATGTAGTGTTTTTCGCAGTTGTCACAATTTCTTTTTGTAGATGATGGTGGTTTTATCTTCTTTCGCTGTTGAGTCTTTTGGTTGACATAGAATTGAGTGAAGTGACTTTGTTGGTTTGTGTATGACGTCAATTCCTAAAGGTTTGAAGAGTCTTGTAGTGATTTCTAAGATATCCTTTATATATGGTAAGGTGATAAGAAACAAACCTCACACACAAAGGGTCAAAGTTCAAGTCAAAGGAAAAATCAGTTCCAATACAAGTAGCCTAGAAGGTGTGCAAAAACACACAAAAACAACCAATCATGACGTCCAAGGTCACCTATCAGGAGGTATGATTAATAAACTCGTGTAGAAATCTAAAAGCTCACTTCAACAGATTGAAGTATTCGCTGAAGATGTCACCTAGTAGTGGGGCGATGAAAGCTTCGCAAATTAAGTATCCAGCTAGCCCAGAGAACACAACCACATCAAAATCATCCACCTTAGCTACAAATCTTCTCTGCCATATCTAATTTGGCTTTTGTTTACTCTCACTCATTGAGCTGTGGCCTATTAGTTTAGGTACTTTATTTCTAACCAAAGGTGTCATGGGTTCGAACCCTGCACCATGTGCACTGAGGTTTGGGTGACACAGCTGTAGAATATTTGGAATAGGGATTAGTTAATTTGGTTAACATACTCGTGTAGGAAAGCGACCAATCTCAAAGTAGCTTTTTATTACAGAATAAAAAAACCAGCTAGAAAACTTGTAGACAACCAAGTATAGGCCAAGTTAGATTTAATATAGTTTGTAGAAAGCAACACACACTAGACCATTGGGTAAACAATATTTTTCAAAAGAATGGATACTGAACAAAGAGTACTCTTTTCGATAACTTCATCATCAGGTTCTACATTTATACATACATTATGGTGAATGAATGAATTAGTGTTATGAATGTCGTTTAAATTACATCGAATCAATAATATTGATAGACTACAGCTGAAACATAAAATAAGCTGAATGTCAGAAAAATTGGGAAGGATAATATTACAAATTCATGAATTTGTAGTCTCTAATGAAGGCGAGGACATTAGTAGGGGCTGGAGTTGCTTCTTTTGAACGCAGAGCACTGGTTGTTTGAGGCGAATCGCAATATAACCTCTGCTGTTTGGAGCATGCGGTGCTTCGATGTTTTTTTGGCAATTTATTAGGCACCCGGTAGATTATAGAGAAGGATCCTTCAATTCTGGCTTGATTTATGGCAGGTTTACACCAGATGGTCCAAATCGAACTGTTAATGTTTTTCACTACACCTTTACTTAGCCATACTGTGGGGGTGTCCTCGAGCGCGAGCACGAAAAATCAAGTTCCTAGAGCAACGGCCGATATAACTTGCTCCACTAGAAGCGCAGTTGAATTGGTAGATACAATTAGAAGTGGCCAGATAGTTTAGGTACTTCATCTTTCACCACCCTCGGTCATGTAGAGAATAAGACGTGTAGTTTGCCACCAGCATTAAAAGTTCTTTGAACTGATTTTCTTAATTTTCTCGTAATTATCTCACTTGGTAATATCGCCCTTGAATTGTAGTCGTACAAAAAGTTGCTTCTTGTTTACAGAGAGTGAGTAGTCCTCTTTGCGCTTTGTTTGTCATGTGTTCCTGGATAAACAGTATTTAATCGTTCTGAAGTTTGTATTTCCCAGTGGAGGGAAAAAACTGTTGAATAAAGCGAGAACAACATTCTCGCTTTATTCAAGTTTATCAAGGGGAATAAATGCATGAAAAAACTGTTATTGGACCACACAAACTTGGTACATTATTGGGCGCTGAGAGAGAGAGAGCACACCGCACAGAATCTTATAGTTGATGGTAGGCGGCAGGCCTGGGATTTTGCTCGAACACGCGGAGTAAAGCAAGGTAGTTGTCTTAAACGGCCACTCCACCCAAAGCCGTTGATTTGAAGTGTGCTTCACAAAGCAATGGAACAACTTCAAGAGCTACATACATTCCCATGGGTTCTGATGACCGAAACAGATTCATATGCCATCCGATCCATTCGAAATCAGTATTTTAACTATTAATTATTATTATAGCTTGATTCCTCATCGTATTTTGGTACAAGTATGAAGTTTTCAGCATGTGATATCGGTAGTCCAACTTTTGCAGACCAACCATTGATACCAGGTGTGCGTCGGCACAGAATCAAACTCCAGACCATGTGCATGGCTGGCGAGAGTCCTAACCGCGGTACCACCGACGCTGCCCTAGGTAGACCTGTATGTCGATCAGATGTCCACATTCGCTTCTTCTTTCACTTTTGTGCGGGACACTCCTGCTTCTTGAAGGCAATGAATATAGGATTTATTTTTGATTGTACACTAACTAGTCAGTAACTAGTGTAATGTGTCTAGTCCTGTCTTCGGTGCAGACTGATTTCTATCAGTCAAGCTTGCAATATGGCCACCATGCTAGGTGGCTCTCCATTACAGTGCACTGTGAGATGTTGGTATTAGATGGTTGGAGGCAATCAGCAGGAAGTCTTGGACCTAGGTTTCGTGCTAGTTGGCACTCACTAGTCAGCAAGGCGTATCTTCAACCTTGAAGGAACTCATGTCCCTTCTGAGGTTCGAACCCGCGTCACTCAGTGATTGCTGCAGTCAGAGGCGTTACCACTGAGCTATTCAGGCTCGCGATTGACCTCCTGTAGGACTGTATTGGATATTTTCGATTGCACACTAACCAGTCAGTAACTAGTGTAATGTGTCTAGTCCTATCTTCGGTGCAGACTGAATTCTAAGGCTTCCTGCCCATTGCCTCCAACCAGAGGTTATAAACGCGTCGTCATATGTGAGAAGGACCGGAGTTGTTTATCCACCGTCAGCAGGTAGTACCTGTTCGTTTATAGGAGCTTCTCAAAATTAATCAGTTAAAGAACTACTAGAACAAAACTGGTACTCTTCGATGGTGTACACGTGTGATTTTGCGATGGGGGCGGGGTGTTCCACCATACCAGGACTTTATTGTGGTAATCACAAAAAAGCAATAGTTGAATATCGCAGACCACAGTATCTCAATCCTAAAGACTAAAAAGTAGCTTTCTCATCTTGTAATATGATATTCTAATATGAACTTTTCTGTTTAGTACAAACTAGTTGCAAATGCTTCCATCATTCTCTGATTTCTAGTAATTTGGTGTAGCTGATGCAGTCATCAGAATGATAATTGCTCTGTAAGATGTATGCGTATTTTATTCAAAAACACACACACATACACAGAAATACAGAGAAAAAAGTGTTTAGACAATAATAAACCTCTAGAGTGTCTGAATACACACTGTGTTTCCATTGAATTTCGAAATAAGTCCGCATCACCGAATAGTAGTCATGATTTTTCCGATTCTTTTGCTTTCCGAATGGAATATAGGGCTTCAGGCTGTAAGCTTTGAAGATTCCAGTAGCGGTGGAACTGTTAATACAGAGTAGGTAGGGTTGGTAGCCTCACATTCAATCATCCTCTTTATTCGGAATTACTACTGGCTAGACGCGGTGTTTACCGGGAATCGAGCACGGACCACATGTTTGGCTGTAGGAGGGCCATGACAACGTTCATATTATTGCTTTATCAAGCATTAAAAAAATACTTAGTGCATATTTAGGCAGAAAAGAAAGTAGGGATATTACCACAGATATCTCACATAGTCAATAGTATGTCAATTATTATATTGTGTACATCCGTGTATACTTAAACCCTACAATTAATATCAAGTGTTGCTTTGTAGGGATTTGATTGATTGGTTACAGGATTTCATCATGAACTGATATTGGCTAGAGAACCATTGGAAAGCCACCACGGAGTACTGGACAGCTGTTTCGTCCTAGTTTGGGAGTCTTCGTTAGTACGCACCCAGCGGGGTTCGTACCCAGAACAGTAAGACAAATCATTAGTGAGACAATCTCGGAAAAAAATGGCACTATAATTAGCTCCCAGGATAGACGACTGGATCGTTGGAAAGAGCATCATGAGGAGCAGTTTAATTGGCCCACAGCCACGCTCAACCTTCCGAGCATCCAACACCTCCCTGAATGGGATATAAACACAGGTCCTCCGTCACTAACTGAGGTTACTAAAGCTGTCACCAATCTGAAACTAGGCAAAGCAGCGGGACCTGATGGAATGACTCCAGAGGTATTTAAGTACGGTGGAGACAGCTTACTGTCTGCATTAACTGAGGTACTAGGCAGCGTCTGGGAATCAGAAGAAGTCCCATCGGGTTGGTGTAAGTCACTGATTATCCCCATATACAAGAAGGGAGACAAGTCTTCCTGTGATAATCACAGAGGGATTAGCTTGACTAATATAGTATCTAAAGTCTTAGGCTCAATAATCATGCGTAGACTAAGTGGTGCTCGGGAGGCACAAACACGAGAGAGCCAGACAGGCTTTAGACCAGGAAGAGGATGTATTGATCATATCTTCACCCTCCGACAGATTCTAGAACATAGGTATTCCTACCGGCGTCCAACAGTCATTATATTTCTTGACCTAAAGGCAGCATTCGACTCTGTCGATCGGGAAGTTCTCTGGAGATGCTTGGCTGTAAAGGGAATTCCGAGAAAATATATTGCACTGATTAAGGCACTCTACTCGTACTCATACAGCCAGGTGAGGGCTTACGGCGAGCTGTCATCTGAACTGATGACGACCAGTGGTGTCCGTCAAGGATGCCCATTATCTCCTTTTCTATTCAACTTCATCATAGATGTGTTAATGGACTTAACCCTAAGTGACTTCAGTGACTCAGGGATTGACTTGCTACCGGGGACTAATCTCGTTGACTTGGAATATGCAGACGATATAGTCCTTCTAGGCGAGGACGCTGACGAAATGCAGAGTCTTCTAAACACCTTGAGCTGCAATCTACGAATGTTTGGCATGCGATTCGCTCCCGCCAAATGCAAGATGATGTTACAGGACTGGACTACATCGACGCCTAGTTTAAAAATAGGAAGTGAAGTGGTAGAGCACGTTGACCGCTTCACTTATTTGGGAAGTACCATCAGCCGCCAACGGGCTGATCTCTGACGAAATCTCAGCACGAATACATGGGGCCCGTTTCGCATTTGCCAGTTTACGCCGACTCTGGCGTAGACGAGATGTTCGACTATCGACCAAAGGGCGGGTGTACTGCTCATCAGTCCGCTCCGTCCTCCTTTATGGTTGTGAGACCTGGCCACTGAGAGTGGAAGACATGAAAAGACTAGCTGTCTTTGATCATAGGTGCCTGCGCTCTATTTCCCGTGTAAAGTGGCATAATAAGGTGAGCAACATTGAGGTTAGGCGTCGAGTTCTAGGTAAACAGGGGAAATCAATCGACGAAGTCGTGAAGTTACAAAGACTGAGATGGTTAGGACATGTGTTATATATGCGTAGCCAAGTCATCGCCTCCCTCGACGAGCAATGTTAGCGGATATAGGGTCAGGCTGGAAAAAAGCTAGCGGCGGTCAAACAAAAACTTGGCTTCACCAGTCAATGAAATCCACAACAGTTGGTCTTAGCCACGTAGGAAGGTGTAGACTTCCAGGCTGGGGTCCTCGGGACGGTAAAAATCTATGGTTGGAAACAATTGGTGACATGGCTCAAAATCGTTCTCAGTGGCGCAGATGCATCCACTCCCTGTGACTTATGATCTCCAATGAAACTGTTTTGTTATTCTTTATTACTCCTTTGTCTCACACCTCTGCTCACTGTTTCTATTATGCTTTTCTTGTACTTTCTTCTCTTGCTTCGCGTGCTACACGGAGTGTGGCGACTTGAACTTCCGCACATTTGTGCAAAGTTCTATGTCGAAAACAGACAGACAGACCCAGAACAGTCTGATTACAAGGAGAGCATACTCGTAGACCATTTATCAGCCGCTGGGACCCACCGACACAATGGCCAGCCGATGAATTCTAAATTCTGCTAGCCAATTTACGACATAGAGTGACCGCTAGCCAATATCTTCGGCGAGTATTTGTCCTCACACCCGTGCTGCTGCTCCCTAATGGCCCTGCGTTCGAACCTCGGTGGGTGCGTACTACTTAAGAATTTCAAACTAGGACGGAATAGCTGGCTCTCCAGTACTCTGTGGTGGTTTTCCTATGGTTCTCTAACCGTTGTCAGTTCATGATGAAATCTTGTTACAATTATTGTATTAAAAGAATTATCAGTATTAAAATTGATTAACATTTAGTAAACCTCTGATCTACTGCACTTAACATATGGGTCAAGATTTGGATCTTCAACACTAATTTCAATTCAGCAATTTTTATGATTCGGAGACTTAGCACCGGCGTCACCAAAAGCATTTCAAACAGACTACTATAGACTTCTACCAACAGCAGCTCTCTTCGGTTCAATATTGAAGATCAGATTACCGATCAGAGAGGATTAGCCACAAGGAATTCCGGCAACGAACCAAGAAATATGCAGGAGGAAATGGAGATTGATTAGGCACACACACATATACACAATGAGGAGACCGTTGAATGATATCATACCCCAGTTAAGCCCTCAAGAATAGGTCGAAAATGAAACGATAAGTTAGGCGTCACTCTGTGAGGAACGACATGGAGGAGATCGTGTGAGGAGGAGTAAATGGAAGCTTGTATGCTGTCGGGGAACCGGCTAAAGAATACTGCAGAGAAGAGGGTGAAATGTCGGTTTAGTACTACTCATGCCATATGTTCCATTTGGAACCCAAAGAAATAGTAATGTATGATATAATATAACTGAACAATCCTGATTGGAGTACACAATTTTAAACCTAGACCACCACATATTGTAAAGCTAATAAATTATTATCATTGACTTATGGAAATATTAGTCTTGGGGACTAATTGATTAGAAGATAAAGGTGTAAAACAATGAACCACTGAACTCGCGTTTACTGATTGATATCAGTTAGAGAACCATTGAAAGCCAGGGATTACTGGACAGCTGCTGTTTCAACCTAGTTTGTGAATCATCGGCAGTACGCACCCACCACGGTGGGGTTCGAGCCCGGGACCTTCTGGTTACAAGGTAAGCTAGCTCGTATACCATTCAGTCACTGTTACCCGATATATATATGTTAATCACTCCGCCTCAGAAGGTGGTAGTTATACAAGGAATATCAAGCCAACATTTTCAATTTGTCTAAACTAAAATACCAACTTAATATTAAATAGTGTCGTCTACTTTTTGTTGTTGTAGAACTTCAAGAACTTTCTGACTGTTACGTTTTCAGTTTCGATACTAGCCTGTATGATCTATGTCTACGTAATACATCTGATTCAACTCAAGAATCTCTTTTGGCTCAGGTTCTACCATCTGATATAGTGTAAGTTGCCGTTTATCCTACACATGCAGTGGGTTTTTTCATATTATTTTGTTTATTTGATGTATTACACACTTTTTTTTTCCTTCACGTCCCCAGTGGAACATAGGGCTTCAAGCGAGTGGCTTGAAGTTTCTGTAGCAGTGTTTATTTTTTACAGGATGGGGGGTTTCTAGCCTCATGCCCAACCTTTCCTCTTTACCAGCATTATTTCTGGCTTAGCTAGGTAAAGGAGTGCGTCTGTAGCCGGGGACCGAACCCCGTCCCATGTGCATGGTCGGCGAGCGTCCTAACCGCTGTGCCACCGACGCACAGATGTATCACGCAGTGAAACAGTATTGTTTACTGGATAACAAAAAATTTTCGAACAAAATTTATTGTTCATAATCACATCAATTTTTAATCACACGATTTCGAAACTTAGGTTTTATAGTTTTCTTTGTTCTCTCCTATTTGTCGTCGTTGGAGTAGTAGAATTTCCCAGATGTCCGGATGGACAGGTGTTGAATCATTCCTAATACATGTATGCTCTCTCAGTTGATTCGATAAAAAAAGCTTCTGCTATCAATTTCTCTCTCCACCCTGGTGTTACAGTAGATTTTAAAACCGTCATCCTATCCCATCTATCCTATTGTATGGTTGTGTATAATTGTCTGTAGTGAGTGATATAGCTGAACTATTCTCTAGATTTCTTATCTTATTCGGGTCGACCAATCTAGATTTTGTTAGGTTTTTATGTTCGACTGATTTGATTGCCCCTGTTCTTCTACTTTGCCCTATGTATTTAACCTGAAAATCATTGCAGACAGGGTACTAGATAAACTAAATTGTTTTGCTTTAAAGGCTCTACAGGATTGATCCTTTAACCGACACAGCTTGTTTCTAATTGAGTTTGTGAGTTTGAATGCCACTTTTATTCCTTCCCGCCTTGTTAAGAATTCTACGTAAAGCGGTTTCAGAGGTTCCTTCTTTGTATGGAATTACTACTGATGATTCAGATTCCTTATTGTTAGTGTTGTCAATATCTGATGCATGTTGGACATGCACGTCGTCATTAATATTACTATTATTATTTTTATCACTATCACTACTATCATTATTCATTTTATTTTTACATTTACTTACATATTTCTTGACTAATTTATCAGGGTAATTATTAAGTTCCAAAGCTTCTCTTATATGCCTCTCTTCCCGTCTTAGATTTTCCTTGGTACTACTTAGATTTTGTACACTATTATTTAAACATTTCACCAATCCTATTTTCACTGACATAGGATGGGATGATCGGAAGTCCAAATATCTGTTTGAATGTGTGGGTTTCCTGTAAACACTAGTGTTTAACTTCCCATCTTCCTTCACTTTTACGCTACAGTCTAACATTGGATGCTCCCTTCCTGACTTTCCAATTCATAAGTGATCTGAATTGCCTCCAGCTTTGGGTTGATGTTTTCGAAGGGTCTGTTTACATCCTGTGTTCTAGGTACAGTGAATGTGTCATCTACATACCTCCACCATACTTTTCGGGTGGGGGTGAACGTTTCAATCGCTATCTTTTCCCACCTATCCATGAATATATCTGCCACAAACGGGGATATTGGTGACACCATGGCAACGAAGCAATAAAATAAGCAATAAGAATGACGAAAGTAATAAAGAATTCAAAATCTCTGTAGTTCTGCTGTATAAAGAAGGAGCCTCAGAGGGCTTACGTAGGATTTTCAATGAGACTGGAATTACTCTGGCATTTAAACCAACCAAACCAATCTCTCAGATATAAAGTTTGTCAGCTTAGGGCGCCTTCTGATAGATCGAGTTTAAGAAAATAATACAATTTACTAACTACCATTTAATGATTGTTAGTGAGGTCAAATACACGGATCAGCCAGACTATTAGATCGGGGACGCTGCTAAGTTAAATAACCAAGAATAAAGCTCAGCCATTGCATTGCATTCATTTGCATGTAATCTCAAAACACAGTGGAACAGGGTGAAAGTATTTAGAGAAAGGTTAATCACTGAATCTTTGTTTATCGATTGATTCAACATCGCACACATGCAATCAAAATCACACAACGCCTATACCGGAGATATACAGAAAGTGGCAACAGGCAACACGAGGAAGAGATACGGAATATATACATATGGCATATTGTGAAGGTGTGTGTGTGTGTGATTATTATTATTATTATTATTGTACCCTTTAATTCCTAGAGGAACATAGGGCTTCAGCTGCGTACCTCCATTGCCTTCTGTTTTCTGCCAACTTTTTCACCCCGCTCCAGGTCTGTCCACATGCTTTCACCTCCTCCTCAAATGACCTCTTCCAAGTCACCCTTGCACTGACGACCAACTCGCCGCTTCCCTTATGGGTTCCACTCGAAGGCTTGTCTAGTGATGTCACTTGATGGTTTCCTCACAGTATGGCCAGCCAATCCATCTCCATTTCTTCCCGCTTATTTGTTTCACAATAGGTTCCTGATTGGTTCGCTCCCAGAGATCCCTCCCTGTTGTTGATCTTTTCTGGCCATCTGACCTTGAGTATTGAGCGAAGACAACTGTTAATGAAGGTCTGAAGTTTGTTTGAGATGCCCTTTATGACGCGCTGGCCAAGTCTCTGATCCGTATAGTAGCACTGACTGACTTGACATTGAAGTTAAAAATCCGGATCTTATTTTTGATGCTGATTGATGTTGACTTCCACACAGACTTGAGAGTAATGAAAGCTTGTCTTGCTTTTCCGATGTGGTATTATTATTATTGTTCCCTTGGGTTCCTAGTGGAACATAGGGCTTCAACTGCACGTCTCCATTTGCTTCTGTCTTCCTTCTGTTGTACTTTTCACCTCCATCCATGTTAGTCCATACTCTTTCAACTCCTCTCTCTTCACACGATCTCCTCCATGTCTCCCTTGCACTGACGACCCACTCGCCGCTTCCCTTTGGGGTTCTAATCGAGCAACGGCCTGACGCGCGCGCGATGTCACCCAGTGGCTGGCTTCCTCAGCGAGTGTCCAATCCATCTCCACTTTCGCATGCATATTTGTTGGGGGGCGATTGGTTCTTGCTTTGTTTGTTTCTTTCCAGCCATAGTTTCTTTTTGGTGATTCTTTTCGGCCCGGTCATCTGATCTTCAGTATAGATCCAGCGAAGACAGTTGTTAATAAAGGTCTGAGTTAGCCTGTTGGAATATTCTTTGTGACCCGCCCGCCAAGTTTCTGATCCGTATAGAAGAACTGACTGATTTGACGTTGTTTGTGTTGAAAATCCGACCGAATTTTGTTGTTGATGCTGAGTGACGAAGGTTTCCAGATTGGTTTCAGGTTAGTTGGTGAATATGTTTCTCGCCTTCCCGATTCTCGCTCGATTTGACATCCTCGTCCGTTCCGACTGTCTGAAGTTGAAATAATGCTGCCTAGATAAGTGAAGTGAATGAAGTAACCTCTTTCAAATCCCTCCCGTTGATGGTGATTGCCGTTGGAACCAACGATGTGTGCTATTCTCTAAACTACTAGTTCATCCTATTGCTTATAATTTTTTATTAAAGAACCAATGAAGAATAACTCTTAAACTGGTGTGAAAATCTTACAGTATAAAAAAAGTGTTTGGATATATAAGTTAAAAAGAGGACTATTTATTATCTACTACTTATCGAAGCTGTCTTCAATTCAACTCAAAGCTTTTATTAATTTATTTGAAAAAATTTATTTTTGTTTCTCTTTTTCTTTTCTCTTTTTATAGAAGTGATTTGAAGCATTTATATTCACCCAACATCAACACTATGCGTAGATCAAAATTTGGATAATATGGTGCAAATCTTGACTTTCAGTCTCAGATTTTTCACTTGTATAATTTGTAAACTTATCATCATCTTGTTATATAACTGAGATTATATTTATTTTGATGTTACAAGTTCCTGTTTTCTAAACTGCTTTAAATATATATATATATGTTTAGAGTGAAACTCATCTGCTTGTCTTCATAAAAATATATGTTTGTAGCAATGCAAGTCTAAGGGACCAACTAGTTGTCGCAAGTAGCGTACTGTTTTGTGTGTGTGTTTGAAACCAGTTGTGTTATGCAAATGGTTATTAATTAGTCTAGCGAATTCGGAAGTTTAGATTGCAAACTATACAGTAAATTTTGTGGGAAAAATAGTATTTAAAATCAGTATTATATCAGTCGTCAGTCGTAGGTTAGAGACGATTATTATTATTGTTTCCTTTAGTTACTAGAGGAACATAAGGCTTCAGCCACACGTCTTCATTGCATTCGATTCTCTGCCAACGTTTTCACCTGGCTCCACATCTGCCCATATGCTTTCATCGCCTCTTCACCTTTCACCTCCACCATGTCACCACCGCACTGACAACCAACTCCCCAGTCGGGTTCCATTCAGACGATGGCCTGGCGTGTGATGTCACGTGATTATGGTTTGCTTTCTCAGAATATGGCCAGTCCACCTCCATTTCATCCTGCATATTTGTTGCAAAATTGGTTTGCTCGCAGAGATCCCTCCCTGTTGCTGATCTTTACTGGCCATTTGATCTTGAGTCCTAAGCGAAGACAGCTGTTGATGAAGGTCTGTAGTTTGCTTGAGGCGCTCTTTATGACGCCAAATTTCTGATCCGTATAGTAAATAGCACTGACTGACTTGACATTGGAGTTGAAAATCTGGATCTTATTTTTGATGCTGTGGAGGGCTGTTGACCTCCACACAGGCTTGACAGTAATGAAAGCTTGTCTTGCTTTCCCGATCCTCGCTTTGATATCCTCATCACTTCTGTCTACCTGTGGTTGAAACGATCCTTTTCAGGTAGGTAGATGAAGGAGATTCCTTCTTTCAGATTTCTCCTATTTATTCTGATTGTTGTCTGTTGTTGCTGTTGGTGTTGGCCAGGAATTTTCATCACCTCTGTTTTCTCTATGTTCACCTGAATTCTTGTCTTCTCTGGATGCTTCTTCTGCCAGCTTGTTGCTTTTCACTTGCATATCTTCCAGTTTGTGGGAAATCAGGCACATATATCATCGGCGAAGTCCAGATCCTCCAAGTTTTTTGTATGTGACCATTCTCTACCTGTCTTGGTTAAAGACGAAGTTTAATATAATCAGCTTCAGTATTTATTCTCAAATGAATTTGAAGTTTACAAGTTCCATTGAGGCTTTTAATCACTTTAATTGTAAATTGTCGTGTTGAAATAAATGTTATAGCCTAATTCGGAAATGTTACTTTTAACGTTTTTCAGACTTTATCTTATGCTCATATGCTATCGCTCCTTTTACTGTATTCAAATACTTCCAGCGTCTTAAAAAAGTTACAATGTGTAAAATTTGTAAGAAAAAGTTCATATGATTAAAATACTACGCACTAACATCACCACTCAACTTGTTGTAAATTCTAGCCTAATACATCTAACTCTAAATCAAAGGATATATGAAGTTTGAATTATTATTACCCAAGAAATCAAAGGTTATAGGTCATAGTTACCATTATATCTGCGCCGAAATCATGAAAGTCAATCGATATGACTGTTATACAAAAGATGTTTATTAAGCAATATGATTCCTGCAAACTTATTTTATTTCTCACTTTTTCTAAAAGTTTTATTCCTTTGAGTACCCAGGCCTTCAACCTAGAGCTTCGAAATTCCAACAATAGGGGTTATTTTTTACGGGATATTGTTGTAAGCCTCATAACCACCCTTCCGTCTTCACCGGACTTACTACCCCAGCTAAGCGGGCTAAAAGAGTATGTCGGCCAGGAATCGAACTCTGGACAGCTTACTTGCTTGGTCAGTTTCCTACCACTGTACCACCCACACACCTTTCATACTAGTAGTAATATTGTATGTAAAAAGGGTGGTTGTATTGGGTTTACGGTGCTAAAACTGTTTCAACTTTACTGTAATAGTGGTAATAATAAAAATAAGTCGTGACCAGTGGGTTGCAGCAAGTCGGGTATGAGGATAAATACTTGCCGAAGACATTGGCTAGGGGTCGCGCTATGTCATGAATTGGCAGAAGTTGGAATGCATGGGCTGACCATTGGATCGGGTAGGTCCCAGTGGCTGATGAATGGTCTACGAGTTAGTTGGCCTTGTAACCAGAATGTCCTGGGTTCGACCCCCGGCAGTGGATGCATACTAATAGGGAGTTCTAAAGTAGAACGGAATAGCTGGCTGTCGAGTACTCCGTGGTGGTTTTCCAATCGTTCTCTAACTGATGTCAGCTCATGATGAAATCCTGTAACCAACCAAATCCCTACAAACCAACACTTAATAATACTATCAATTGAATTAATGAATCATTTTCTGTATTATCATAATTGTTTTATTTATTATTTAAAAAAGAATGTATAAATTTCACAATTATCAACTGAATAAGCAAAATGTTAACATTAGTTTCTGGTTAAACACAAAACACAGCAACAATAAGAACACAAGTGGTGTTGCTTTTATGGACGAAAGATGTTAATTGGTGTGTTAGCCAAATCCACTTTTCGTCTTTTCTTATCAGCTATCGGTGAGAACAAAGAGTCTTGAGTACAATTATTCATCAACTGTAAATAAAAAAGAAACGCACATTATTATTATATGCAATAATTCATATGGATTGGTTTTTTTCTTCTGAAGGCAACAAAAGTATACAAAAATAGAAAAATTAAACTTAATGACTACTGAAGTGATGTAACAAAAATCCTACACTATTTTTTACAGGTGGTAACAAAGTGTATATAGATTAAAAGACTAACAAGATGATTCTCCTTTCCTATTGCTAAACATTCAGTGTAACAATAATTATTGTCTCGTGAGGCTTCTTCAACTGGTTTTTCTATAAAAACGCATACGTACGAATTCTTTCGAATAGTATTATATGTTTTTTCAGTCTTTTATTATTATTATTTATCCCATCTAATTCGTATATTATGTTATTGGGTTCCGAGTGGAACATACAGCTTCAACAAACACATCTCCACTTTGTTCTATTTTTTCTGCCCTCCTCTTCGTCTGGGTCTACGATTGCCCATAATCTCTCATCTCCTCCATGACACCCTCGCATCGACAACTCATTCGTCTCTTCGCGTTGGGGTTCTACTCGAGCGATGGCCTAGTTGGCGCAGGATGTCGTTCGACAGCCTTCTCAGCGTAGGCCGCAATTCATCCATCCACCATATTTGTGGAGCAATCGGTTCTTGGTTGGTTTGTTCCCAGCCAGAGTTTCTTGCTACTTATTCTTTCTGGCAGGCTATTCGATCTTTAAAGCAATTGGTTCCCTTTATGAATTTCGACAAAACAATAAGAAGACGTAGTTTATCTGAAACGTATAATGTATTGGCGCAACACATTTCGGACATTCTGATCACACACGTACTTGTCATACACAGTTTTTATATAAGGCAAGAAAGCATGAATAATTACAATACAGGTCAGATTGTGTACAGGTCAAGGTCACAAAATAATGGGTAGGGAGACGCAAAAGGTGTGGGTAAGAAAGATAAAGGGAGGAAAAAAAGGCAAAGAAAGGGTTTGAAAATATTATGAAGTAAAATTGGACCTTGGTTCTAAGTTGGATTACCAAGGCAGGTTTAAGGTGATAACAAATAACTTTTGGACGCATAAGACAGGTTTAAGTCTTTTAATGGCTAAGGCTTCAATGAATTTAAGTATGTGACCCAACCTTGTCTTATATATCGGCTTAAAGGCATTATTAAAATCAACCTTATGACCCGTCTCTATAATATGCTTCGCTATAGATGATGTTGGACATCTATTTCCCGGGTCAATTGTATCTGGCGATTTCATTTGTTGTTGCAGCCACTTTGGAATGTGTTCTGTAGCCCTAACATGCAGAGACCGATGGGTCCTCCCTATGTACGTGTCTCCACACATACATGTGAATTGATAAACACAGTGGGATGTGACACTATCGTTCGGATAATGTGAGGGTTTACAGGACAGCATAGTTTTCGTTTTCTCTATGAAGATAAGTTTAGCTGCATAATAGGTTCTACTAATTGCGGCCTTTAGTCTTTGTCTAGTGACTAGACTTTGTTGATCACCTCTGAACGGCAAGGATATGTAAACATCCTTTTTGGGAACTGATTGGATTGGTAAAGCTGTGTGGTTGACACTTCCATAACGTCTAATAAATCTCAGTGGGTAATTGTTATCTAACAATATTTCAGTGAGATGTTGTCTTTCTTCTTCAATTGTATCGGCGGTACATATACGGTGAACGCGCTTGAACAAACACTTAACCAACGCCTTTTTATACTGTAGTGGACAGAAACTATAGTAATTTAGATACTGTCCAGTCCATGTTGACTTCCTGTAGACAGATCGTTTTATTGACCCATCTTCTCTGCGGGTTATGAGTACATCTAAAAATGGCAGGCATCCATTATTCTCTTTAACATAAGTTAGCGATATACTATTTTGTGCTCTGTTGACCTGGTTTAGGATTTCTATGGCGTCGATCGGTTGATCACAAATGACAATTATGTCATCTACATATCTTTTATAGAAATACACTTTTCCAATTTCTTTCTCCACTAGGTTCTCAACATGCGACATATATATGTCAGCTAACAATGGACCTAGGGGGCTTCCCATAGCAACACCATCGATCTGGCGATAATGCTCGCCCTCGAATGTAAACTTAACATTTTTAGTACAGAGAAGCAGTAACTCTTTTAAGTAAGATGTAGATACTGGTAATAAGAAATCGTTGTCAGAAATGAAGTCACATAAAATGTCAACCGTCTGTAAAAGAGGTACATTTGTAAATAAAGATTCGACATCTAGGGAGAACATGGTTTTGTCTTTTATATTAACGTTATCAAGACAATCAATTAACTCAAAAGTGTCTTTCAAAGAGAACTTACAGAAACTTCTTCTAACAGGCTCTAGTATTTCCACTAGCCACTGTGCAAGTTTGTGGGTTGGAGATCTGCACATTGACATTATGGGACGTAGAGGAATGTTAGGTTTGTGTGTTTTGGGTAGACCATACATGTGTGGTAATTGAGACTCTGTGGGCTTTAATGAATTGAATTTCTCTCTGTTAATTGCATTCATGTTTAAAAGTTTTACTAGATTATTTATCACCATATTTTGTACATTCTTAACATCCTCAGGACCGGAGTCTTTCATAAATTTTTCGTTGTTTCCAAGAATGCATAACATTTTACTTTTATATTCAATTTTGTCCATTATAACTACACCTGACCCTTTGTCTGGTCTGAGGTCACATACTTAAATTCATTGAAGCCTTAGCCATTAAAAGACTTAAACCTGTCTTATGCGTCCAAAAGTTATTTGTTATCACCTTAAACCTGCCTTGGTAATCCAACTTAGAACCAAGGTCCAATTTTACTTCATAATATTTTCAAACCCTTTCTTTGCCTTTTTTTCCTCCCTTTATCTTTCTTACCCACACCTTTTGCGTCTCCCTACCCATTATTTTGTGACCTTGACCTGTACACAATCTGACCTGTATTGTAATTATTCATGCTTTCTTGCCTTATATAAAAACTGTGTATGACAAGTACGTGTGTGATCAGAATGTCCGAAATGTGTTGCGCCAATACATTATACGTTTCAGATAAACTACGTCTTCTTATTCGATCTTTAGTATGCAGCTGTTGATAGAAGTCTTCAGTAACGTGTTAAAAAGTCCTTTTCGTGGCACGCTGGCCAAGTTTCTGACTCGTATAGAAGCACTGACTGACTTAGCATTGGTGATAAAAATCCGAATCTCATTCTTTATGCTGAGTAGGTTTATTAAATTATTTTTAATATAGCGAAAATATTTATCGAGACATTTAGAGAATCCAAAAAACTGAGCAAAGAATATTCTCTTCGATAATTTCCTCTTCTGACTTTGCAGTTATACATATATGTTTATATACACAGAATATTCTAGAATAATCGTCATTAACAATATAGATATAGCACACAAGCCAGTCAAATCGCTTAATTCGATATTATGTAAACCGAAAGACCCATCCAACAGAAAAAGGCGATAAAATTAATACCATTTACACAATAAATTGTATGAACTGTAACAGGCATTACATAGGCCAAAGTGGGCGTCCCCCTTCGAATCAGAATCCAGGAACACAAATCAGCCGCGAAAAGACACAGTATATATTCTTTCATATCAGTGCATATAGACAACTATGGACATCAGTTTGTCGAAATCTTAGACAGAGGAAACACCAAAAGTGCAATCAGGGAATTCCTAGAAGCCTGGTACTCAAACGAATATGCTATTAACAAACACGTTAATATAGACCAAATATACCAACTAATAAAAGTAAATGAGGTGACCAGAAAGTTTAAAATATAAGTCATTAGAAAATGGTCAATACATATGTAAAGATGGTTACCGGGGGACGCAATTATATCACTCATGGAAAAATTTAAATAATTTCACTTTATTCTAAAAATTGCGCCGAAAGGCGATGTTGTCCAGCAGGGGGACGACGAAAGCTCCGCAACTAAACCAACCAGCTCAGGGAACACTATTAATTGCAAGTCATCCACCTGAGCTACAAGTCTTATGTATTATTTCAATATTGGTGTTCATTTAAATACTATCGATTTGTTAAGTAAGTTCGATAGTATTTAAAAACAACAATATTGTTAATGACGCTTATTCTAAATACAGAACACAAGATTGATGTTAACGAGGCGGCTTGCCAAGTCATTTACCGCATGCCAACCAACTAATCTTAGCTTCACCTTAAGAGTTCTTCTACTACGTATTGCTGAGGCTGGCTGTTGGGATACCCATTGAGAAAGCTAACTTATGTATGTATACAAAAGAAGCTGGTAGGTTCAGACACTTCCCTTACTACCTTGGCTATCAAGGTTTTAACGATCCTGAATTTGTTGTGGAGATCTTAATTTTATTTGATATTCTATTTGCTATCACATTTTTATGCTTATTATAATTTGTGCATCTTTAGTGAACTCTAATTCCATCGACGTTACTTAACAAACCGATATTATTTAAGAAAAACCAATATTGTTAATGACGACTATTCTAGAATATTCTTTGTATATAAATATGTATATATAGTTGTAGAGACAGAAGAGGAAATCATCAAAAAAGATATTCTTTGCTCAATTTTTTGTTTTTCTAAATTATTTTTATTGTCATGATCGTTCTTAGATAATTTCAAATCTTTTCCTAGGAGAAGTGAATAGGATGTGCACTTTTAATCCCTCTAATTCAACACCTCCATCTCCCCGTACCCCCCACCAACAAAAAATATTTAAAGAGTGACAAAAGAAATCTTATGTGGTAAAACTACAGTGTAGAAGAAATCCCCATTTAGACATTTAGAAAACAGAAAACCTGGTAAAGTGTCTGGTTTATAGAGCTAGGTTAGTCTGTTCAGACGATTGTCTCAATAAGAAGCTTAAGATTATTAGAGAATTACTTGGAAAAAGTGGTTATCCAGATAAGTTCATGGTAACAGTTCCGAAAAAACCAATGTTCATATAACTGCAGTTCCTTGGTGACAAAATCAGCGAAATAATAACACAACGACTGAAGAATGCAGTTAAAAGAGTTTATTATGCAACAGAGGTACGTTGTCTTTTCACAACCGCCCCTATTCTGCGTTCGAGAAATAAGGACAAACTACGTAAATTTACCTCTTCTATGTGTGTCTACCAGTTTGACTGCAGCTGCGGAGCCAGCTACATTGGGCGTACAACTAGGCAGATTCATTATCGTATTTCCGAACATCATCCAGCATGGTTAAGCAAGGGACAAACAAGATCTATTCGTAGCTCTATTTAAGCAAACCTTGTAGATAGTGAGCGTAAGGTTGATGTTAATACAGCATTTAAAATTATCTATCGCATTCCTACTAATCTTAATTTTGCTCCACGAGTTCGTCTTCTACAGACAGCTGAAGCAATAGGAATCCACCTGAAGAAGTGTGTTCAGAAGAAATGTATACAGCCACTTTCCTTACCTTGGCCATCGTTACATGAATGTATAAACCGGACTCCTTCGCCCCCCTCCCCCTAAACCTTTAAAAATTATAATTGTCCAAATTATTTTATTATTTTTTCTGACCACTTCATCTTCAATTACGTGTTATCCTTGTAAAATCAATTTATTCTAACCATTTCTACCTTTTAAAACTACAGTATTCACAAAATGTCTTATGGTAATACTACATATGTCGAATTTCCTTCTTTATGCATGTTACTACTTTGGCAACAATATCATTTACTATTCAAATGAAAAACACATGACTATTTGAGAAGTTAGGAAAACTGTTGAAAAGTTGCTTAAGCGTCTTGTAGAACTATGGCTTAACTATTTTTAAGACTCACATTATCCTCATCCTCATCATCAATTTCCTTTTCAATTGTTGACTGTATTATGCTTTGCTGTGTGCGTTTCTAAAAACAAAAAATAAATATTTTCAAGTATTGGTTTTGTAGGGATTTTTTTTGATTGTATGAAGGATTTCATCATTAGCTGACATCAGTTAGAGGAACACTGGAAAACCTGGGAGTACTGAACAACTGTTTTGTCCTAGTCTGGGACTCTTCATCAGTACGCACCCACCGGGGTTCGAACTCAGGACCTTCTGGTTACAAGGTGAGCTCGCAGACCATTGAGCCACTGGGAGCCAATCCAATGGCCATGAATTATAACTTCAAGAACCATTGGATCGGCTGCTAATGGCTCAATGGTCTATGGGCTCGCCTTGTAACGTATAGGTCCAGGGTTCAAACTCCGGTGTGTGCAAACTGATGAAGAGCCCCAAACTAGGACGAAACAGCTTTCCAGTACTCCCAGGCTTTCCAGTGGTTCTCTAACTGATGTCAGCTCATGATGAAATCCTCCATGCAATCAAAAAATAAATAACTGATAAAAACAAAGTACAAACAAAATATTTCTATAATTTTTTTCAAAAGTTATTTTAGTTTCTATAAGATACGGAAATTTTCTTTTTCTCTGTCCTTTGCTTTCCGAGTGGAACATAGGGCCTCAAAGTTGAGATTTGTTTTATCGCAGTGAGGTTTGCCTGTCCCAAGCCAAGTCTTTTCTTCTTACTGGGTTTACTATCGACTACATTAGATTTCGGAGTCCATCGGTCAGGAGTAATTAAACTTGGACTACATGCACTCTATTATTGAGCTACCGACGCACTTAATTTAGCATTAAAATGAATAATAATAATCAAGTTAACGGAGAAAATTGGTGGATGGAGGCTAGCAGGGGAAATCAGGATGCGCATTTCGTCCTAATTGGGACTCTGCAGCTGGATGTACCTGCATTTCTCAGTGAGTGATGATGTTCCCATCGAGGCTCGAACCCAGTGCCCATAGTTTCAAACGTCAAAGCGTTATCCACTAGACCACTTGGGCCACGAGAGCCACCTCTTGTGCAACGGGTCATATTAATTATTGAATTGAATTTTTGATTTTCCCGTCGATTGATTGGACCGAAGTGCTCGGTCTCAGGTTGACATGTCGGCTTCTTGTGCAGATGCTTCGACGATGTCTGGAGATTTGATTTGTATACAATTGGTGGATGGCGGCTAGCAGGGGAAATCAGGATGCGCATTTCGTCCTAATTGGGACTCGTCAATTCAATAATTCATATGACCCGTTGCACAAGAGGTGGCTCTCGTGGCCCAAGTGGTCTAGTGGATAACACTTTGGCGTTTGAAACTATGGGCACTGGGTTCGAGCCTCGGTGGGAACATCATCACTCACTGAGAAATGCAGGTACATCCAGCTGCAGAGTCCCAATTAGGACGAAATGCGCATCCTGATTTCCCCTGCTAGCCGCCATCCACCAATTGTATACAAATCAAATCTCCAGACATCGTCGAAGCATCTGCACAAGAAGCCGACATGTCAACCTGAGACCGAGCACTTCGGTCCAATCAATCGACGGGCAAAATCAAAAATTCAGTTCAATAATTTACGGAGAATCGTTACACAGTCAACATTAAATTACCATAAAGAAGTTGTAGAAATTTAGCTGAAAAAATATTTTCTTTTTTATTTTGAATAAATTAACGTGATATAACCACTAGCTGATCTAGAACGTAAAATAATGACATGTTAAAGTGTTGTTTTGAGGGGATTTGATTGGTTACGGTATTTCATCATGAGCTGATATCGGTTAGAGAACCGTTAGGAAATCTAGGAGTAGTTTGCGACTCTTCATCAGTATACATCCACCACAAGGGGTTTGAACCCACGACCTTCCAGTTACACAAGGCTGCCGAACTCGTAGGCTATTCACACATTGCGAACCGATCCAATGGCCAATTCAAGATATACTGCGACCACTAGCTAGTTTCACGGCTGCTGAGTATTTGTCCTCACACGTGACCTACTGTACCCCACTGGAACCCACTGACTTAATGGTGTACGAGCGTACTGCGGAAGAGTCTTGAACTAGGTAGGATAAAACAGCCGGCTGTCTAGTACTCCATGCAGCTTTTCCAATGGTTCTCTATCTGATCTCAGCTTATGATGAAATTCTGTATCCGATTCAAGAATTAGTTGTACATTTGTTACCTTTAATGAATATAGCTGTGTTTCAATCTTTATCATCGATTCCTTCATACAATTCAGACTGTGTCTAGAGTGAAATGTCATTTATCTGCGCCTAATAATAATTTTCCTTCACATTCCCAGTGGAACATAGCGCCTCAAGCTGGTGGCTTGAAGTTTCTGTAGCAATGTTTATTTTTACACGATGGGGTTGCTAGCATCTTTACCAGTCTCATTACTGGCTTAGCGAGGTAAAGGAGTGCGTCTGTGGCCGGGGATCGAACCCCATACTATTTGCATGGTCGGCGAGCGTCCTAACCGCTGAGCCACCGATGCGCTATCTACGCCAAGACAGTATTTAATTTAACAATATTTAGAAGAGAAAAAAAAGAAACACCATGATGAAGCTGAAGTGGACAGATAACATGGTTAATATAATCAGGTGGTCACAACACACCAAGAAAGGAGTTTTGTTTTCTATAAGGGAAAACATTTTTTAAATATCCAAACGTGTAGCAATAGTAAAGTTTCAAACTTTTCAGATTTAGGTGTACAGTAAAAATTGTTACTGAGATTTTGGAGTTTTGCTTGGATGAAATAGTGCAAAGTTGTATTATTATTATTATTATTTGTTTAAAGTAACCTCATGAAAGAAAAGGAGCACTTTATTCTTGTAAATATATTGTGACTAGATGTTTTATTTATTAATTTTTCCAAATCTTTCTATGATGAAACACTTAATAAAGCAATCACCGCAACATTTTTGCTTTCCATGAATGGATAATTTAGGGAAGGCCAGAAAAAAAATGATTTTTCTTGTGTGTTATGATATTTGAATCGTGAAAACACTATTTCGTGCACCTGATTTCATATCTGTTTCCAGCTGAAAGTATACCAACCAATGTAAAAGACTTTTCATTCATCGAAGGAAACAAAGGAAAGTGTATTTGGAGCAACACAACCAGAAATGTATAACACATAAAGACATAGATGATCTATTTACATGTAATAACACTTACTCCAGGTGCACCATGAATATTAGTCGGTTTTTGAGTAGTTGAAAATTCAGGTGAAACCTAAAATTATTATTCACGTAATTCAAGTTTAGATTTGTTAAATTATTATATATATTTACACTTTTAAAAAGAAATCAAATAATCAGTAGTAATAATAATAATAAGGATGAATAAATCTTTTTACGGGACGATTGTTTAAATAGTTTAAAAAGAATTTAGTGATTAACATATGTTAATACATATATAATACAAAATACGGTGACTCAAAACTATAGCAGCCAAAAACGAAACTATCTCTAGCGTCAAGTCAGATGCGTCATAATAAGAGGGGTGTAATTTGAAATCAACGTCTACATAAAAGTAGACTCATCAGGGAAACGGGTGGGAGAAGACAAATCATCAGTGAGACAATCTCGGAAAAAAATGGCACTATAATTAGCTCCCAGAATAGACGACTGGATCGTTGGAAAGAGCATCATGAGGAGCAGTTTAATTTGCCCACAGCCACGCTCAACCTTCCGAGCATCCAACACCTCCCTGAATGGGATATAGACACAGGTCCTCCATCCCTAACTGAGGTTACTAAAGCTGTCACCAATCTGAAACTAGGCAAAGCAGCGGGACCTGATGGAATGACTCCAGAGGTATTTAAGTACGGTGGAGACAACTTACTGTCTGCATTAATTGAGGTACTAGGCAGCGTCTGGGAATCAGAAGAAGTCCCATCGGGTTGGTGTAAGTCACTGATTATCCCCATATACAAGAAGGGAGACAAGTCTTCCTGTGATAATCACAGAGGGATTAGCTTGACTAATATAGTATCTAAAGTCTTAGGCTCAATAATCATGCGTAGACTAAGTGGTGCTCGGGAGGCACAAACACGAGAGAGCCAGACAGGCTTTAGACCAGGAAGAGGATGTATTGATCATATCTTCACCCTCCGACAGATTCTAGAACATAGGCATTCCTACCGGCGTCCAACAGTCATTATATTTCTTGACCTAAAGGCAGCATTCGACTCTGTCGATCGGGAAGTTCTCTGGAGATGCTTGGCTGTAAAGGGAATTCCGAGAAAATATATTGCACTGATTAAGGCACTCTACTCGTACTCATACAGCCAGGTGAGGGCTTACGGCGAGCTGTCATCTGAACTGATGACGACCAGTGGTGTCCGTCAAGGATGCCCATTATCTCCTTTTCTATTCAACTTCATCATAGATGTGTTAATGGACTTAACCCTAGGTGACTTCAGCGACTCAGGGATTGACTTGCTACCGGGGACTAATCTCGTTGACTTGGAATATGCAGACGATATAGTCCTTCTAGGCGAAGACGCTGACGAAATGCAGAGTCTTCTAAACACCTTGAACAGCAATCTACGAATGTTTGGCATGCGATTCGCTCCCGCCAAATGCAAGATGATGTTACAGGACTGGACTACATCGACGCCTAGTTTAAAAATAGGAAGTGAAGTGGTAGAGCACGTTGACCGCTTCACTTATTTGGGAAGTACCATCAGCCCCAACGGGTTGATCTCTGACGAAATCTCAGCACGAATACAGGGGGCCCGTTTCGCATTTGTTAGTTTACGCCGACTCTGGCGTAGACGAGATGTTCGACTATCGACCAAAGGGCGGGTGTACTGCTCATCAGTCCGCTCCGTCCTCCTTTATGGTTGTGAGACCTGGCCACTGAGAGTGGAAGACATGAAAAGACTAGCTGTCTTTGATCATAGGTGCCTGCGTTCTATTTCCCGTGTAAAGTGGCATAATAAGGTGAGCAACATGGAGGTTAGGCGTCGAGTTCTAGGTAAACAGGGGAAATCAATCGACGAAGTCGTGAAGTTACAAAGACTGAGATGGTTAGGACATGTGTTACATATGCGTAGCCAAGTCATCGCCTCCCTCGACGAGCTATGTTAGCGGATATAGGGTCAGGCTGGAAAAAAGCTAGCGGCGGTCAAACAAAAACTTGGCATCAGTCAATGAAATCCACAACAGTTGGTCTAAGCCACGTAGGAAGGTGTAGACTTCCAGGCTGGTGGGGTCCTCGGGACGGTAAAAATCTATGGTTGGAAATAATTGGTGACATGGCTCAAAATCGTTCTCAGTGGCGCAGATGCATCCACTCCTTGTGACTTATGATCTCCAATGAAACTGTTTTGTTTTTCTTTATTACTCCTTTGTCTCACACCTCTGCTCACTGTTTCTATTATGCTTTTCTTGTACTTTCTTCTCTTGCTTCGCGTGCTACACGGAATGTGGCGACTTGAACTTCCGCACATTTGTGCAAAGTTCTATGTCGAAAACAGACAGAAAGGCATAAAAGTAATGCAATGTTAAAAAATGGTTATGTAGGATAATGTTCCTGTATATGTTCCAAAAAAACCTCCCAGTTCCTCACAGAAGTCAGGTTAAACCAATTTTTATAAATATATTTGTCAAGGTCATCAATTCATCCATTACGTAGTTTCTTTTTGGGCTACTATAGCTTACAGTCACCCAAAATACTCTGGAGTTTCTTAATTCTTGATCATAATAATGAAAGGTCCACTTATCCGTCTGTTTGTTTTTTTGTCTTACCATAGTTCCTTTTTTCTCATCCTGACCGAAGACACGCGGATATACAGTATTCTTCAGAAATTCTTTTTCAACCAGTTTTTCACCCCTAAAATGAATTAAAATATGACGATCAATATATAGTTTAAAGTCCAATCTATGAATACGAAAGTCTACACACCATATTTTTTTCGGCAAAGTTCAACAATAGCGTCCCAAGGGATGCCGACGCACGAGTATCCCTGCGCCGACCAATCATAAAAATGAGGAATTTTTGCATGAAAAATAACGTATATTTACAGGAAAATGTATGATAACACATTAAACAGGGTGCTTTCCTCTGACATGACTTAAAAATACCTCCCAGTTGTAATGAGGATTATCAGTTGCTAAGTTAGACGAGTTTCAGTACATGTATTCACCGAGATGACTGAAGATGAACTGTTTTTATGAATTGTTTATCTCTTTTATCCTGTTGTGCAGTCTTCCCCAAACGCCTTCGGTTGAATTACTATGGTTTCCAGTACGAGGATCGACAACTACTTACCAAGGAGATGTAGACAATAAAACGAATTAAAATAAATGGCATCAACTCTAAATCTATCCCTAATCGTAACCCTAATTACAACCCTTATCCTAACCATAAGACTAAACCTAGTCCTAATTGTGACCCTGATTCCAACCCTAACGAGCTATTAACGCTACTTAAAAACGTGATCTGGGTGAAATTTGCTTCTTAGTTGGTGAATAGCCTTGGTATTTTAGTTATGATAATGACAAGTGTCGTTGGCCAACGACTAGCATGCATTCAGGGTCAGTGGAGCTTTCGTACTCCTGGGACGCTATTGTTGCACTTTGACATTTTTTCTAGTGAACTTAGTCTACTAATTGATAAATATTAATAAATATACCTCTGAAAATCCGTTCTTCAACTCTATCGATATCTGTGTATTATGACCGGAACGACAACCTAGGTGCATCGGTGGCACAGTGATTAGCACTCTTGCCAACCATGCACATGGTCCGGAGTTCGATCTCCTGCCGACGCACACCTGATATCTATGGTCGGCCTGCAAAATTTGGGCTACCGATATCCATGCTGAAAATTCCATACTTGTACCAAAACTACGGTGTGGAATCAAGCTGTGATCAAAAAAATAAAAATTAAAAAAATCAAATAGTAGATCGAATACTAACTTTAATGAGCTGACTATTCTGTCTTAATCGCACCACAACAAGACAGAAGAGAAGACTGGACATTGTAAACAGTCAAAAAAAGATTGACAGCGCTCGCCTACACACACGTTTAAAGTGACTTTGAGATACATTAATGCCAATGTTAAATTAAGGCAATGAATAACCAATAGGATTTCAAAGGCCACAAGGAGGGTGAGAGAAAATTTGGACATAAATCCCAGTGGGTGCGTACTGCCGATGATTCCCATACTAGGATGAAACAGCAGCTGTCCAGTACTCCCCCCTGCTGGTTTTCAATGGTTCTCTAACTGATATCAATCCGTGATCAACTCGTAAAAACAAAACTAACCCTTACAAACCAAACTATAGAAAATAAATCAATACATGGAGTGAGGGAACACAATGGACATTCCATTATGGGTAAATTTTTGTTTTGATAAAGTCTCACAGTGTGTTATACAGTAATGTTTACTGATGACGTTTCGAGCACAATTTATTGCTCATAATCATATCAAGGTACTCACACGACATCCTAACTTCATTTATATTGTTCCATTATTTTTCACTTTATTTCCACTTAATGTGATTAGCAGTAGTATTTTCCATATTTCAGGTATGAGCGATGACTCATTCCTGTTGCATGTGTTCAGTGTAGACTCGATGAGCAAGGATTCAGGAATCAACGGACATCAACAACGGACATGTAAAATTGACATGTAGGAAATTAGGTCTATATTATCATTGTGCTGATTTCTAAATATTCATACAGTCACATATCTAATTCAGTTATAGAAAAATGAGTCATACTGGTTTACATATTTATTCACTTTCTAATCTCACCTACAGTAGTATGTAATGTATTAATTAATACTCAGTATATTGACCTTATTAGTTATTCCCAAACATTTAGCAATAACTAAGTGTGCATTAATTAATGTATGTGTGTGTCACAGTTTGATTGAGTATTTTTATTGTGTGATTACAGCTTGATTAACCTCGCCAGATTACTAGCTCGCTAGTTTTCTAGCCGGTCCCAAGCCCGGATAAGGGGGGAGGGTTGGGGTGTGGTGCTAGAAACTCCACCCCCGTAAAACAACCAAATCGCTACAGAAACTTCAACGAATAAATATATTAAAAATTCTAAAAACATAAACAATAGCCTTATTTTTCGCTGGAATCGGGGAAGTGAAATGACGCAGGCTGGTGAAAGCCTTCGGGAAGCCAGTCAGCCGATGTGCCTTCTTTCGATGAAAGCAAAAGTAAGGATGGGTACCTGGAATGTTCGTACAATGTACGAAACTGGAAAGGCTGCCCAGATAGCCGCTGAAATGAGAAGGTACAGAATAGAAGTGTTGGGAATCTGCGAGAGCAGATGGAACGGAACTGGAAGGTGCCAACTACCTACTGGAGAGACAGTAATCTATTCCGGCCACCTAGAGGACAACCATGAGCACACCGAGGGAGTGGCCATCATGATGTCACCAACAGCAACCAAAGCTCTCATGCAGTGGGAACCAATCTCCTCCAGGATAATGACAGCCAGGTTCAACTCAAAAGGAAGGAAAGTTACAGTCATTCAATGCTATGCGCCTACAAACGTCTCAGAACAAGAGAAGAAGGAGGCGTTCTACAGACAACTACAAGCAATAATGGACAACGTCCCAAATGGCGATATCAAAATCCTGATGGGCGACATGAATGCGAAGCTGGGACGAGACAACACAGGAAGAGAACTCACCATGGGCCGTGAGGCCCTTGGTGAACTCTTCTCAGACTTCTGCGCCTTCAATGATTTGGTGATTGGTGGCAGTGTGTTCAAACACAAGGATATACACAAGACGACATGGATTTCACCAGATGGAAACACCAAAACCAAATAGACTTCATCTCAATTTCAAGAAAGTGGAGACGGAGCCTACTGGACACAAGGTCGAGGAGAGGAGCAGATGTGGGTTCAGACCACTATCTAGTAGAAGGGACTTTCAAGGTGAAACTAAAAGCCTCGAGGATAGCTGGGGATAGGCCACAATGCAAGTTCAACACTCAATTACTGAAGGACACAACCACAAAAGACACTTTCACTGCAACTGTCAGAGCAAAGCAGGAAACACTACGCGACATCACTGAAGAATCATGCGTGGAAGAACATTGGAAGTCTCTGAAGGCGATTCTCAACGAAACGTGTTCAACGGTTCTAGGAAGAAAGAAGAGACAAGACAAGGAATGGCTCTCAACGGACACTTGGAAATTAATAGAAGAGAGGAGAATGGTGAAAGAGAAAATGATTCAATGCAAGGACGGACAGGAGAAGGAGACGCTGAGCTCAACTTACACAACATTGGACAAAGAAGTGAAGAAGAGTGCTAGGAAGGACAAAAGACGATTCTACGACAACCTGGCCACTGAAGCTGAGAAGGCAGCAGGCAAAAGGGACCTGAGGACATTATATCAGATAACCAAATCTCTATCCGGGAAGAGATCAACACAAGCGAAACCTATAAAAGACAGCCAAGGGAACCCAATTACCAAGGAAGAAAAACAGATTAAACAATGGGCGGATCACTTCAAAGGACTCTTGAACCGACCATCACCTGCAACCCGTCCAGAAATACCAACAACAGCGCGCACACAACTGCAAGTTGACACCAATCCTCCAACGAAAGCTGAAGTCTTGAATGCAATCAAGCTTCTGAAAGCTGGAAAAGCAGCTGGACCAGATGGAATACCCCCTGAAGCACTGAAAGCGGACCCAGAGACTACAGCAGACATGCTGACTCCATTATTGCAAAAGGTCTGGAAGGAGGGAAAGGTGCCTACTGACTGGAGGAAAGGTTACCTCGTGAAACTACCAAAGAAGGGCGACTTAGGACTCTGCAAGAACTGGCGAGGAATCATGCTCCTGTCGACGCCAAGTAAAATCCTGAGTCGCATCATCCTGGAGAGATTAAAGGACGCACTGGAGACAGAACTCCGACCAGAACAAGCTGGATTCAGGAAAGGCAAATCATGTACTGACCAAATTGCAACTCTACGCATCATCATCACAGAACAAAGCATGGAATGGCAATCAAACCTCTACCTCAACTTTATAGACTTTGAGAAGGCCTTCGACAGACAGCGTTGACCGTGAAGTAATTTGGAAACTACTCGAGTACTACGGCGTACCCCAAATATTCATCAACCTTATTCAACAGCTGTACGACAACGGAACATGTCAAGTGATCCACAACGGAAAACTCAGCGAGGCGTTTGGAGTAAACACAGGAGTCAGACAATGCTGGCTGCCTATTATCACCAATGATATTCCTAATTCTGGTGGACTGACTGGATTATGCGTCAGAGAGTGAGTGGGAAACGAGAAGACAGGAATATCCTGGACCGACCACTGAAGAACCTAGAAGACCTGGATTTCGCGCGTGGATGATTTGTGTTTGATGTCACACAAAATCGAAGACTTACAAGCGAAAACCAACGACAAACTGGTCGAAAAAGCAGCCGGCGAAGACAGGACTCCAAGTGAACATAGACAAGACGGAGGATACGCAAATAACCAGCCAACAACAACAGCAACATCAATCGCCAATCACCATCAATGGGAGGGATTTGAAAGAGGTTGCTTCATTCATTCACTTATCTAGGAAGCATTTTCTCAACTTCAGACAGTCGGAACGGACGAGGATGTCAAATCGAGCGAGAATCGGAAAGGCGAGAAACATATTCACCAACTAACCTAAAACCAATCTGGAAACCTTCGTCACTCAGCATCAACAACAAAATTCGGTCGGATTTTCAACACAAACAACGTCAAGTCAGTCAGTTCTTCTATACGGATCAGAAACTTGGCGGGCGGGTCACAAAGAATATTTCCAACAGGCTAACTCAGACCTTTACTAACAACTGTCTTCGCTGGATCTATACTGAAGATCAAATGGCCGGGCCGGAAAGAATCACCAAAAAGAAACTATGGCTGGAAAGAAACAAACAAAGCAAGAACCAATCGCCCCCCAACAAATATGCATGAGAAAGTGGAGATGGATTGGACACTCGCTGAGGAGGCCAACCCCTTGGTAACATCGCGCGTCAAGCCCTCGAGTGGAACCAGGTCGAAAGGGAAGCGGCGAGTGGGTCGTCAGTGCAAGGGTGACATGGAGGAGATCGTGTGAAGAGGAGTTGAAACAGTATGGACTAACATGGATTCAGATGAAAAGTACAGCAGAAGGAAGACAGAAGCAAATGGAGACGTGGAGTTGAAGCCCTATGTTCCACTAGGAACCCAAGGGAGCAATAATAATAATAATAAAATTTGATAACAGCTTGATTCCACACCGTATGTTTGGTAAAAGTATGGAATTTTCAGCATGTGATATCGGTAGCCCAAATTTTACAGGCCAACCATAGATATCAGGTGTGCGTCGGCAGGAGATCGAACCCCGGACCATGTAGATGATCGGCGAGAGTCATATCCGCTGTTCCACCGACGCACAGATACGCAGTGATACACCCATTCACTAGGTATTGGTTTTCAGGAGAACCAAACACACCCATTCCTGCCTCTTGCGAGTTGAGACCGGCATGCAGGATCATCCTTTGGCTCAACCATTCGAGAGCCCTACCCTTCGGTGGACCAATTTAAAACCGGCAACACATGATAAGAAAATGATAGATATGACAACCTCCGCCAGTAGGCAGAATTGTAACTCCCTCTATGGATAATGCATGGCTATTTTGTTCAATCTTTAAAATTATTTAATTACAAGATAATTCGACTTGTAAAGTGTGATAAAAGTAATAGGAAGCACCACACTTAGAAACATATTTCTTCACCTCTGCGTTATTTGCAGTAAATGGTGTTTCATATTGCTATATTGCCCAGGACATCTTGTTTATATATGTGTTTAAAATGACTTCTCAGGATTACAAAACTTTAGTACATCGTGTGCGTTTGACATCATTCAGCACGCATACATACATATGCTTTAGGTCAAACTGGGCTGTCTGTCTGTCTGAAGTTCACTTATTCCAATAATACAAGATTACTGCTATTACAGTCCATGTAGTTCTTGTTTGATTCTGGATATAAATAACTTCGACGTAGTAGTAGTGCGGTGAGAGCTGTCTGCTAGCCAAAATTGGCAGACAGATATTTATGTCAATGTTTACGGCTCAAATCTTGGTCATGAGACAAAAACAAGAACAAAGACTTTGCATGGGCGGATACAGTTGGCAGATATACGGTCTGACCTTCAAAGAAACGGCCACAAAGAAATAACAGATTAACTTTCAGCGAGAAAACAACCAATCAGACGACGCTGTTTCTTTGTTAGTAATAACGGATAATAATGTACATAAAAATATGTAAATATCTGTTGATTTTCTCAATAAACGATCTGTTGCCTGGCCCTTGTCTTCTGTCGTCGCAGTAGTAGTAATTGAAGAGAATTACTTCTTATGATTCGAATTCAAATACTACAATATTATTTGACATTTTTTACCTCTACATCTCCCCATACATTACCTTCCTAATTTTCCATTATTGAAACGCAGTCAACTGTTTTAAATACACTATTTTAAATCTAGCTTTCATTTCGACAGATAATAATGTGATTACTACTTTTAAACTTCTTTTGAATGTCTTGAGAAGCTTTTGCTGTGAAATAGGAGTTTTGTTGAGATTTATGTGAAATTGTTCCCTTTTTTCCCTTGTCAAGTTAATATGTATATTTATTATTTTATTCCTTTAAGTTCCCAACGGAACATAAAGCTTTAAGCCGGAGACTGGAAGTTTCGGTGGCAGTGGTGTTTATTTTTACGGGATATGGTTGCTAGCCTCATATCCAACCTTGCCTCTTTACCAGTCAGTGCGTTGGTGGCACAGTGGTTAGGACTCTCGCCGACCATGCACATGGTCCGAGGTTCGATCTCCTGCCGACGCACACCTGATATCTATGGTTGGCCTGCAAAATTTGGGCTACCGATATCCATGCTGAAAATTCCATACTTGTACCAACAATACAGTGTGGAATCAAGCTGTAATCAAAAATTAAAAAAATAAAAATAAATATTATTTGCTTAGTGTGGTAAAGGAGTGCGTCAGCTGGAGATTGGGCCCCCAACCGCATGAAGCGTGGTTGACGAGCATTCTACAGCTGTGCCACCGACGCAAAATTTAATACGTATAGTTACTTATGCAGCATGAGAATGAGTCATTCATTGGAAAACGTCTTTATTCGTCCTGTCTTTTATTTTATTATCATAGGGTAACATAAAACTTAAGGCCGAGAAAAATTTTGTCTGATTTTGGATTAAGGGCTTCATATAACATTTTAAGTAAACTTGTATCCTCCTCATAGGCGTGCTTTATCAATCAACCAGTCTCGATTGATGAAAAAACGAGCTCATCATTCGTATTGACTACTTAGTTGTTTAGCTTTTGAACTTCATTTAGATAACTGAATCATTGATTTATTTTAGTTATTAGACCTTACATTTTCTTATTCACTGGTTGTTAAAGGTTAGTATATGCTTAAAATGAAAGGGGTACAACATATGTACTAATTTCCTTTTAAAGAGGAGAAGGCATTACCATTAGAAATGAAAAAAACTACAAAAAGGCTAATTTGCTTTGCACTAAGCTTAAATTCATTTACTATCACAGATATTCATCTTATTGTTATTGGTTAGTCAAACATTATTTGAAATTGTACACCAACAATATACGCTCAGGATAATTTTTTAATTACAATTGTTAAAAAAAAGTTAATTTTTAAATTTGAACAAAACATTCTGGAATTGACTCACCTTTTTGGTCCTGGAAGTTTAACAACTTGCTCTTTTACTAAACGGTTAAAAATTCCACGAGCGACAGTATACTCTACTGCAAGGGCTCTGGCTAAGACAGCAGGTGATACTGAATCAACATACATACATAGACTTATTGCACGTCGAAAGAGACAAGTTGCCTGGAAATATTTCATCATATACAAATTTAGTATGATTACGTAGATTCATATAGTATTTGTAATAAACAACCATGAGTTTTATAGAAAGTATCCGTGCTTAACGTGAATTAGTTTATTTTCGGGGGGTGGGGGGTATCTTTATAGATCATAATAGAGATTTAATCTACTTTTGTTATTTGTATACAACATAAGCTTTGTACAATATGGATATCAAGCAGCTTGACAGAAAGTAGTCAATACGGTTACAAGCATTGAAATTTCAGTAGTGGTGGTGTTGCTGGGAGTACACCGGTTGGGGATGGAACCCGGACTTCTTGCAAAGCTGGTTAGTACTCTACTACTGAATCGTCGACATTCCTTCTAAGTATTGCAGATAGGGAGAACAGTCATCTATGAATGAAATGTGAGTAACTCAGTGGAAAGTAATGAGATGAACGTGTATACCGCTCAGCAGTCCGCTTCGTCTACCTTTATGGCTGTGAAACGTGGCCACTGAAAGTGACAAAAATGAAAAAGAAACCTAACAGTCTATTATCACAGGTACCTGCGTTCTATCTTCCCTGTTAGGTGGCATAATAAGGTGAGTAATATTAAGGATAGGCGTAAGGAAGGGAAATCAATCGATGGGGATGGTGAAGTTGCATCGATTTAGATGGTTAAACACATGTGTTATACTTGCTTAGACATCCATCACCTCCCCTGACGTTCAGTGTTAGCTAATTAACATAGGATGGATCAAGTTGGAAAACAGCTAATGGTGGCTAGACCAAAACATGTCTCCATCAGTCATTAAAGTCCATAACAGTTAGTTTAAGCCAGACACATGGGGAGGTGTAGACTGGTTGGAGCCCTCGGATGGTAAGAACCAATGACGGTTGAAGACAATTGGTGATATAGCTCAAAATCCTCGTTATCAACAGCTATCGCAGATGCATTCGCTCTTTGAGATTTGCTAGTCATATCCAATCAAACTCTTGTTCTTTCATATTACCATTCTCTTTCCCTCACACTTCTGTTTATTATCTCTCTTCTGAATCTCCCTTTGCTTACTCTCTTTTCTTGCTTTGTGTGCTAGAGTGGGGACTCGAACTTTTGCATGTTATCTGTACAAAGTTCTATGTTGAAAGCAGCTAGTCAGTCAGATGTTCAGGGATGACGCTAAATCCAAATTTATCAATACAATTAAGTTTTCGGCTACCACAAACACTAACTGCATAATGTAGACTCCTAACAATTTACTTTCAAGCAAGTTGATGCAATCTCTATTCCTTAAAGAAGTACTTTTGCAGATCATTGTGTAGAAGTCATGTTAAATTTATGATATGTACCCACAATTTACCTCATTGGTCTGTTAGTCAGATAAAATCAAATCACATGTGGTAGCATGATGAGCATAAACTAATCAGAATCCATCATACAGTTAACGCCTACAATTCGAGCTTGGTGACTGGGTCAATATATATGCCATATATTTCGCATCCTTGGTCACTATTTCTCTCACTTATTCTGGAAACACATATATCCAACCCTACTGTGTGAGCCTTGTGGATTTTACTAGTTTGGGTTAAAGAATAATCAACTAGGAAATTATCAAGCGTTCATATCGTAAATTAGCATTCGTACTCACTACTCCTGGACAGAACTAGCATGCGAAAAGCGCATTCAGAATTTTTACAAGAGAATTTTCCGGCTAACAGTTTTCTCTGATACACTGATATTGATAAATTATTGTTAGTTAAATTTTTCGCCACTAGACTAGTTAATGATGCATCATTTAAAAACAGATGTATATTGACTGTTACAGAGCAGTTGAATCAGATCTGATTAATACTCCAAAATTCTTTGCTCGATTTAATGTCTTTGAAATGCTTGAATGACTTTGACTTCCTTTAAGAAAACGAATTATAAGTCTATTTTCTACAGTCTGGTTTGTAAGGGTTAGTTTTGTTTTTACGAGTTGATCACGGATTGATATCGGTTTGAGAACCATTGGAAACCAGGGAGTATTGGACAGCTTCTGTTTCATCCTAGCATGGGAATCATCGGCAGTACGCGCCCACGACCTTCTGGTTAAAAGGCAAGCTCGTATAGCATTCAGCCACTGGGACCCGATTCAGTGGCTCATGAATTCTAACTTCTACCACTTCGTGATTTAGCCCGACCCCAACCAAGTGAATTTTGTTGGTTAAGACTTTTAGTAATGACTACACTTTTAGACACACTTGTGATTTTGTAACAACTTCAGATTGAGAAATTCCGACTATCTAGAGCTCACGAGTGTCACTCAAAAAAAGAAGAAATTAGATCAGTAAGTAACACGAACAGTTAAACATTATTGCATAGTTTTCAAACGTCGTTATAAATATACTTTGGAAAAGTCAGTTTATAATCAGACTAACCATCAGTCAATCACACATCACAGAAACACAAGCAACAGTTTATGAATACATCATTCCGAAGTAAATGTAAAATCAGTCAAATCGATGCGTAGGTAACAAAACAGACAGCGTGTTTTTTTATGATTACTGCAAATGTTAATAAACTAATTAGTTATTTTCTATTCAAATAGCACTTATACTAACTACATAGAGAGAGAAAAAAAGGACACAAGTTAATTACTTCACGAACATACCTTTCTGGCATCATCAGTCATATTTCGAATAGTATCATCTGTAGTACCTCCACTTTGAAGGAGTTCAGGCTAAAAGATCCAAGAAAAGTTTTTTTCTTCATATTAGAATCATATAATAGTTGCATACATTTTAAACGCATTCAACATTAAAAAATCTACAAGCATAATAATATAAATTGCACAGAATACATATATATATATATATATATATATATATATATATATATATATATATAAACTTGTATTGGCTGTGGTAATTTTATTTTTACCTTTTCGGAGTTGATGGTTCTAAAATGATTATAACAGGAAATTCAGTCACACATCACTTTAACGTAAACTGATGCTAACCTCAATGTTAAACAACCATAAATCGAACGCATCACCAGAAATATTTTGTGAAATAAAACTTTTCCTGACAATTCATTAACTGAATGTGCTAGACAGCTGTTTCGTCCTAGTTTGAGACTATTTATGAGTACGCATCCACCATAGGGGTCCGAATCCAGGACCTTCCGGTTAAGAAGCTAGCTATCTGGTAGACCATTCATACACTGCGACCTGATCTAATAACCAGCCTATGAATTCCAACCTCCGCCAGCCAATTGACGATATAGCGCAACGACTAGCCAGTGTCATCCCTGGTGAGTATTTGTTCTCATACGAAACCTGCTGTACCCCACTGGTCACGACTTACCACTAGAACCCACTGGCGTAACGATCTATGAGCTCTCCTCGTAACCGGGAGGTCCTCGGCTCGAACCACCGGTGGTGGGTGCAAACTGATGAAGAGTCCCAAACTAAAACGAAATAGCTTGCTGTCCAGCAATCCCAGATTTTCCAATGGTTCTCTAACTGAGGTTAGCTCATGACGAAATCCTGTCAACAATGAAATCTGTGCAAGCCAACATTTGAAATTCATTATCTCTTAACAACTCCTTCCTTATGCAAATAAAAGATTCATAATATACCAAGCATTTAAATACCGAATCACTTATTACTTCTGTGTATTTTATCATCTGGAGAAACAATTTCCATGCGGTGTAAATCATTACACTATTACACTGTCCTTAATTCATTAAATTTTCTACTCTGTAGTATTTTTTTCACACATCACAAACCAATTTCTCGGCTGATTTGCAAATACTAGCTCATTTTAAAGTCTTGAAGTTTGTTTATTAAATATCAGGGTTTCTGCACTGACTTCACTTTCATTGGAATTTTTTCTTTACAGCCGGTTACCAGGATTTTACAATCATTTGTAGAGGTTACAGTTTATCAAATATTCATTTTATATAAATTTTTTCTGGGGGTAGTAAATTTCACAGTGTAAACCTAGGCATCATCTTGAAAATTTCTTTAGCAAGAGATAGATTTAGAACGATTTTAGTGACTAGTCTCGAACTAAACAGCATGTAATATCTCGACTTCATCGATTCATTCTGGTCTTATAAATGAGAGATTTTTTACCTAAGGTTGACAGTTGTTACTACAATTTGATGCTTTGATAATTTTGATAAGAATACTGTTTAACAAATTCTCTAATACTTCTTGTAAGTGTAAAATGATTATTTTATTTCATAGACCTTTTAGGTGATAACTATAACCAAGGTCCTAGGACAGGTAAGCAGTATTATTACATGAAGCATGGATATTACAACCTGAAGAGACTGGTTGGCCCACTTGATTCCCTATGCGGGCTACCTAACACACACACACAATGCATGATATTTTCTTTATATCTTATTGTGTTAACCATTTAATTATGTCCTTGAGTCGCAAAATGTATCCATGCATGTTTCCAGTTGGCTTTCAAACTATTGGTGAGCATTTCCTTGAGAGACGAAAGGGGAAATATCACAAGGGGATTAGTCTATGCCTCAGATCTAAAAGCATTGAGATTTTCTGGATGAGGAGAAAATGTGATGCAATAAATTACGCTGAGAATTCTGTACGTATTATGAGTTACTTTGGTTACATTCATTGAAAGCAAAGATGAGATGAACTGTTACTTGAAGAGAATCAAATAGGGGATTTTTGTAACTGTCTTTCTTATTACAAAAAGGAAAGACATTCAATACGGGTTTTACAAGCCTCAGCAACAGATATATATATATATATATTCACCTTACAAGGGAATAGAAAATATAGTTGAATATATACTTTTTTTTAAAATTTGAATAGTAAATACCTTGTTTTTTGCGCAAATCTCACAGACATGGGAAACAGGAACATTGTACTCCTCTGAAATTCGAAAGCAAATTGCATGCTGCCAGCTACCACATCCATCACATAAAATCATAACACCATCATCCTAAAACAAAAAAAGCAAAAAAAGATTTTAAAATAAAAAACTTTAATAATATATCAAATATTATTTTAAAATAAACCTTGAAAATACACAATGATTTATTGTAGTATTATTAGTGATAGTTATCTCAGCTATCTATTCTTTTTGACTTATTTTAAAAATGTATTCAGTGTCCCAATGAAATCATAGTGCCCTTATCGAAACATTTACCAAGATTAAAGTTGTGTGGTGAGAGCTGGCTGTTAGTCAGAATTGGTGGACAGTAATTTACGTCAATGTTTATGTCCCCAATATTGGTCGTGAGAAAAATAGGAACAAAGACTTTGCGTAGACGGATACAGTTAACATATAGATGATCTGACATTCAAGAAACAGCATCTCTTTGTGGCTGTTCCTTGAATGTCAGATCATCTATATGTTAACTGTATCCGTCTACGCAAAGTCTTTGTTCCTATTTTTCTCACGACCAATATTGGGGACGTAAACATTGACGTAAATTAATGTCTACCGATACGGTTAGCAGCCAGTCGCCACCACAGTACTACCATCTCTGACTATCAATAGCTTAAACTGTTTCTGAAATTCATTTCTATCAGATGATTCCAAATGAAGATGAATGACTAGTTTTTGAGATTTATTCGAATTTCTTAAGAAACATCCAATTTTGAAATCTAAAACTTATTTAATAATGACAACAAAAGTGTAGTCTGTTACCAAGATCATGTCCACAAAACTGCAAATTGATTCAGTCACAATAATTAAACTTATTTCATTTCAAATAAATTCACATCAAATTGAATTTTAAATATTTAAATCCTAGCCTTACTGTTGGTTTATTTTACTTTTACTCATTTCTTGGATTAATTAGTAAATTCACTTCCAGTATGTTGAAATATATGACTAAAATCATGATATGAAAATTTTAAAAAAATACATTTTGTGAATGTCTTACTGTGTTTACACCACAAGGACAACGAACTTTATAGACTTGTGATTCACTTTCATCAGATGCTAAAGTTTGTTGCAGAAACGATAAACTCAGTTCCTCTTCTTCGTTCAATTTACTTTTAATTTGTGAATTTGACTGGAAAAATAATACCAAACAACATTGCAACGAATAAATATTAAAATTCGTTTATTTTTAAAATGCCTAGGAAATGTATGTATAATTAGATTAAAAAGTATTTTCAAAGTTGTCTTTTTTTAAAATAATATCATGTATACTATTTTGAGTCACTCTTCATTGTTATAAAACGCAATTTTTTGAAAATTGTTTTGTTGGTCCTGATGAACTACGAGGTTTTTGCTCCATTATACAACCTGTATTCGAAAAATATACAGCTGCATGTATCCTAAAATGCTTAGTAATCCTGAAAACAAATTTATTTTTATTATTATTTATTATTATTCCCTTGGTTTCCGAGTGGAACATGGGGCTTCAACAACAAATCTCCACTTTGTTCTATTTTCTGCCCCCCCTCTTCGTCTGGGTCTACGATTGCCTATAATCTCTTATCTCTTCCTACCCACACGATCTCCTCCATGTCACTTTAGGACGATCCACTAGTTGCTTCCCGTTTGGACCCCACTCGAGCACTGGCCTGGCATGCGATGTCATTCGACGGTTTCCTCAGAGTGTGTCCAATCCATCTCCATTTTCTACACCACATTTTTTGTTTGGTTTGTTCCCAGCCAGAGTTTCTTGTTACTAATTCTTTCTGGAAGGCCATTTGATCTTCAATATGGGGCCAGTGGAGGCAGCTGTTGATAAAAGGCTACAGCAGTCTATCAGAAGTGTTTTTTATGGCACGTTGACGAAGTGTCTGACTGGTATAGAAGCATTGACTGACTTCACATTTGTGTTGAAAATCCGAATCTTATTCTTAATTCTAGCTGAGTGAAGCAGAAGATTTCCATTTTGGTTTCAGGTTGATGAGGGCGCATCTTACCTTTCCGATTCTGACTTAGACATCTTCATCCGTTCCGCAAGTAGTTGAAATGATGCTTCTCAGATAAGTGCAGAAGACAACCTCTGTTAAATCTCTCCCGTTGATGGTGATCGGTGTGGATTGTTTTTGCTATTGATTGGTTATCTTCATCACCTCCGTCTTCTGTATGTTCACCTGAAGTACTGTTTTCGCCTGCCTGCAAGTCTTAAAGCTTGTGTGACATTAGACATATATCGTCTGCGAAATCCAGATCTTCCAGAGTCTCCTTATCGGTCGTCCAGCGTATTCCTGACTCGTCGCCCCCAACAATCTGACGCATAATCCAGTCCATCACAATTAAGAATGTCATCGGTCATAATAGGCAGGCTGCTTCGTCTTAATCCTGTATGCACTTCGAACGCCTCGCTGAGTTTCCCGTTGTGGATCACCTAAAACGTGGAATTGTCATATAGCCAGCTGTTGAATGAGGTTGGTAAAGACTTGGGCGCTGCACGCCATAGTGTTGAAATAGTTTCCAAATTACTTCTCGGTCAACATTCTCTAGTGAAGGACTTTTCGAAGTCAATGACGTTGAGGTAGAGGTTTGACTGCCATTCTATGCTTTGTTCGGTGACGATGCGTACAGTTGCAACTTGATCAGCGCACGATTTGCCTCCTTAAATCCAGCTTGGTCCAGGCTGGAGGAGTTCTGTATCCAGTGCATCCTTTATTCCCTCCGGGATGATGCGACTTTGTATTTTACTCGGCGTGGAAAGGGTATGATTCCATGCCAGTACTTGCAGAGGCGTAATCTCTCTTCTTTGGCAACTTGACGAGATAGCCTTTCTTCCAATCGGTAGGTATCTTTCCTTCTTTCCAAACCTTTTGAAATAATGGCGTGAGAGCATCCGCCGCAGTTTCTGTGTCCATTCTCAGTGCTTTGGGAGGAATCCCGTCTGGTCCTGCTGCCTTCCTGACTGGACTTCAGTAGCTTGATCGCATTCAGGATTTATGCTTTGATTAGAGGATCATTGTTCACTGGCAGGCAGTTTTGTGCATTCTGTAGGTGGTGGTGATGTATTTCTGGGCGGGTTGCAGGTGATGATCGATTGAAGAGTCCTTTAAAGTGATCAGCCAATTCATTGTTTTATTTGTTTCTCCTCCTTGGTAATTGGGTTCTCTTGAACATTTTTATTGGTTTCATCATCTGAGTTGATCTCTTCCAGGATAGAAACCTGGTGTCTATCTGATATAATGTCCTGAGGTCTCTTTTGCTTGCGGTCAATCTGTTTCATTTGCCGATCAGTGTGTCGTAGAATTGTCTTTTGTCTTTTCTAGCACTCTTCTTTACTGCTTTATTCAGTGAAGGGTACATTGAACTCAGCTTCTTCTTGAGTTGTCCATCTTTGCATTTAGTCATCTTGTTCACCATCCTCCTCTCCTCTCTTCTATTAGTTTCCAGGTAGGCGTCCATTGAGAGCTATTCCTTGTCATGTCTCTTCTTTCTTCCTAGAACAGTTGTACACGTTTCCTTGTACATCACCTTCAGAGGGTTAGTTCCAGTGTACTTCCACACAGATTCCTCAATTATGCCATGTAGTGTCTCCCACCTTGCTCTGATTTAGTCTGTGGTGAAGGGATCCCTTACAGTTTTCTCCTTCAGTTTCTGAATGTTGAACTTGAATTACAGTGGCCTGTCTCCATTTTACATTTATAGGAAAAGATTTCTAGTCATAAGTTTTTCAAACCTGATTATATACTTCCCTCTATACTACAAAATTATTACTTACGCTTTGAAAGTGAATTGCCTGGAATCAATTTTCTTAATATCATAATTCACTGTATGATAAATGACACATTATCTCATTTATTTTTAATTCTTTCTTGATTCACCAGTAAATTCAACTGGTAAAACATTTTTTGCCTTAAATGTCTGAAGATCTGATTTTTACCTCTTTATAATTTGACTTTCATAAATCTACTTTTCATAAAATCTGTTTCATATCAATAAAGATAACAAGGAAAAAGTGTATTTCTTCATTATCAAGTGTTGGTTTGTAGGGATTTGATTGGTTGGTTACAGGATTGATCACGAGCTGATATCGGTTAGATAACCATTGGAAAACTTGGGATTACTGAAGTGCTGTTTCGTACCCCGGTGGGTACGTACTGATGAAGAGTTCCAAACGAGGACGAAATAACTGGCTGTCCAGTACTCCAGCACTGATTTTCCAATCGTTCTATCTAACTGATGTCAGCTCATGATCAGTCTTGTATTTATCTCTAGTAAATGCAGTTAATTAAAAGCAAAAGAATTGCTCGCATCCTACCACTTTGTAATCTTCAGACCTACCCTAACTCTACTTTGTTGAGGATACAATACACAGTATGAAATAAATTCTAATGAAAATAGAGCATAAAACTAATTCAGAAAAATACTTATCAAGTATTGGTTTTGTAGGGATTTCGTTTGATTGCTTGGAGGATTTCATCATAAGCTGATATCAGTTAGAGAACCACTGGAAAAACTGGGAGTACTGGACAGATGTTTCGTCCTACAGCAGGTACAGAAGGTCGAAGACGGGGCAGTAACTCATCGAAGAAGACATTGTGAAATGGTCGCGCTATGTCGTGAATTGGTAGAAGTTAGAATTCAAGAACCATTGGATCGGGGCCCAGTGGCTCAATGGTCTACGAGCTCGCCTTGTAATCAGAAGGTCCTGGGTTCGAACTCCAGTGGGTGAGCACTGATGAAGAGTCCCAGAACTAGGAGGAAATAGCTGACCAGTACTCCGAGGTTTTCCAGTGGTTTTCTAACTGATGTCAGCTTATGATGAAATTCTCCATGCAAAAATACTTGTGTTATTGTAAAAATGTGAGGTATTCATTTGCCAGTGTATACTTATGTTTACGCAAGAAATGAACTTTTTTAGAAATATATATTCGATTATAACTATGGTTTTGAGGATGCTTGGTAAGGTTTTATCTTTTTCAAAAAATAATGGTAGTGTTTGTTTTGAACATTTACTATGTGAATCAACTTGGTTTAGTAGCCTGGCACTGTAGGAACTCACCAGTTGTCTACTAAATTATTTATTCAGACATATATATACGTCTCAAATTAACGTTTTTACAACTCTGGATGTCTGAAAATTCCTGAAGACAATTTTCGTTGCATACGTAAGTTTTTATTCAAATGGCCTGCTATTATCTAGTTTCTTACAAGCGTTTAACTGTATATGTTCAAAAAAGGGGCTACTGCCATCTACTCGGTCATATATTCAAAACGTTCATTGGTACACACTGTAACTTTGTATTTTTACAAATAATCTTTTGTTTATTACTCGTTGGAATAAATATCATTAAAAGTAGGTAGTTCTGATGATGTTAAATGGTTGGAGACAATCAACAGGAAGCCTAGGTTCACGCACCCTGCCGATCGCCTCCAACCATCTAACACTAACAATTCAAAGTGAACCGTAATGGCCAGCTACCTAGAATGGTGGCCACTTTGTAAACCTGACTGATAAAATTGACTCTGCACCAAAGGAAGGGCTGGACACATCACACTAGTTACTAGTTTCTAATCAACATGTGTACCTCTGCTGACTTAAGTTTGAGGTCTGCTTGAGCTAAAGAAATAATTTAACATATATTGTTTGATGTATCTAATTACTCTCCTATTTTAATACACATTACATAATTTCATAGTATAACTTAAGACCTCTTCAGAATAAAAAAAGACACGCAATTTACTTTCGTGCAACAAAACCATGGTTTTTCATATGAGAAGAATCTACCAACTGAAATTATAGGTGAACTCTTTTCGTACTTATAGGGAAACGTTTAGTTTACTGTGTCTTGTGTGCTACTGGTAAGATTTATGGGTATTATATAAAGAAACGTTCGTCTGCACAAAAATATCAAATAGCAGGGAGACAGATATGATCTCAGCGAAAGTAATTATACAGTGTTGTGAGGATACATGGGAGACCTGAAAGGAAAGCAAACGGAGACAGTGTGAAGGAGGGCCAGAAGTAGCACAACACGGAAGATGTGTGCAAATGGTGCGTTGAAGATAAGGTGTAGATAATTTGGCTGTATGGAGATACTAAATCTCTCGTCTTCTACTGTTACAAGTGTGGATTAATTTGCCTGAATCCGTTGACTTGTAAGTGCCAGTTATATTACTTGTACATCCAAGAAAATTTTCAGCTATTACTCAGCAATAAATTGAATCTTTTAATAATCAAACACTAAGATTATAAGATATTTGAGTCAAAAGCTTTTAACATTCACATAAGCCTGAATGTTGTGATAAAAACAAATACCAAAATAGTTACATAAATCCTAGCGAACTTCTGAAACTAACCGAAATTTCATGGACACATTCTTCTTGAGTTGACTCAGTAGACTTCACAGATCCAGAAAACAACCTTCGGCTCGTCTGTACGTGCATTTTAATGCTAAGAAAGTTTAAATTTACATAATGGTACTAACCTGTGGTGAACCTAATAAAGTAGATATATATTAGAGAATAAGCTAAGGTAAACATACCGTTCTCACGTTACCCAGTCGTACATTGATATTATCTTCTTCATAGACAAAAGTCGTGTCGTCAGCGCGCTTGAATCCCGGTGTCATATAATCTTCTGGTGTTACTAAAGTTAGTGCATTATAGATTTTAGAAAGGTTAAAACAGAATGAAGCTTGAAATTTTCCTCCAAGTTGATTTTGTGTGCGTGAATAGTATGAAAATTACATCCACATATACTCATATTATCCAGGTAAATTAACCTCATTCTTTCCGAACCAATCCTATCAGTAGGGAATATTTTCTAAATTCCTCTTGTTCAACCGATCAAATATAATTCTAGAAAATGGATGTTTTGGACATGTGAATTTACTTCTTGCACTCAGGTCTAGTATGTCACCATATCCTTGACTATTCGTCCACGTGTTGGCAAGTAAAATCAGTTGAGAGCATTCCTTTTTTGCCTGTCGCTATATGTAAAGGATTTAAGTATATAATGGCTTCCCTCAAAGGTGTCAACGAAACACATAAAATCATCTTGAAATGTATAACATCAATTATTTTATGAGGTCAGGTAACCTAATCACTTCTTTGTTGCAGCATTTAGTGATCTACTGTAATCTAATTGATTTCATGTACTTTAAGTTTAATATTCTCTAAATTAAGTCAGCACTAGGTTTCTCATATTATGGATGACAGCAGTTGGAAATACTTCGGATCTAGGGAAAAAATCTGATGGAAACTAGCATTGTTACCTGCTTTGCTCTAGGTTTTAATGTCCGTAACAAAATGTGAACTGTCTTCGAAAATTCTCCCCTTAGGTAATAAACAGAATTTTTACGGTAGTAGTTACCTAACCTTACTTCCATATGAGGAGATGCTGTTAATAAAAAGTGAAGTCTAATATCGTGAGTCGTAAGATGATGATATATCTTGAAATCAAAGTGGAGAATTTTTAGAGTATCAATGAAGTCGCAAACTGAATATCACTTCAGAACACCATAAACCAGTTTGAGTGTCTCCGTAAGCACGAACGTTAGCAAGTATAGTATCGCCGTACACAAATAGTTGAAATATAAAGACAGAAATATTTTCGAATACTGAAAATATCAGATAACTTGAAAATGTGTCTGAGTGGATGAAGGCGAATATTTAAGAGTTTTTGTCAGTTCTCGTTGTGATGTCATTACTTAATAATTAAGTCCTATTTGTTAAAGAACTTATCATGAACTCGCGTTAGTTCTGTTCGTAGGTGAGAATGTGACCACTGAAGACAAGGGATAAAACGGGACTGTATATCTTCTCTTGATTGTTATGGACTTCAAGGAAAATAAAACATGCTGCAAAGCACTCCAGAATTTCAAATATCTAAATTTTAATTATTTCCTCCTAGATCTTGTTGACTTATGCTGTTAATTGTGAGAAATTAACGTACTCCACAAAAAAGAGGGAAAGTACGCCGAAATAACTAAAATATGTCAAAAATGTCTATCACTATATAGTTACAAAAAGGATCCAAATAAACAACATCAAACGTTTTAAAATAAGTTTTGCAGTTTATAGTGAAATTGTACGAGATGGTCCTGTCTGATGCATTGAAAAGAGAATGATGAAAGCTGAAAATAAATATGAGCACTAGCCTCTAGAGTGTGGTTGCAGTTATTTTTCTGGCTCAGAAACAAAGTTTAATACATGTTCAGACATCAGTCGACGTACTTTGTAATTTAACTTATTTCTTAACAGTCAGTTCCAATTCGAGTTCCTTATTTCCTTATATTTACTAAGATCTAGATTTCTGGTGAAAACTGTATGACAGGGACGTTATTATGTAACTTAAAAGGTATAATGTGGGTTACTAAAAAGTACGCCTGCAATATGTTGATACAGGCTATTTACCTAATAATGAGTTTCCTGAAAGTCAGAATCAACAATAACTTGGTCTTTCAAACAACTTCAATTCGTTTTCATGCTAGTCATACAGAATTAACGGCTGGAACAGCCCACCGCCGGTTACAGCCAGATTTCAGTAACTTTGCGGAAATGTACACTAAAGCACACAAATTAGAAAAACACCAGCCCTCATCTAGAGTGGCACTTATCTGATCTCGGCCTGACCAACCCATCCCCCACCCAGTCCTTCTTCCAAAGATACGGAACCAGTTTTCCAGCTTCCCTTACCTACACTACCAGAAGCTGCATCATCCCCAGGACAAGTTGAGGATATGGGTACTGCCTGCAACAAAAGTTTTACTGCCAGACCCCGATTTCTGAAGGCTGACAGGTGTATTCCGGACATCATCAACATGTGAAATTCTCCATGAATGGCCGAGAATATCACCATACTCTCTTTTGTTACAGTAGGCTGCGTTGCAACAGTGAAATTTAGCAGCGACACTAACAAAGCCGAAATCTGACTCAGTTTGCTAGCCTATCCTAAGGTCGGAAAAAGAGAGAAGGTCGGGCGTGGGGATAGGGACTGTTAGGACCGATCACATTGAAATAAGAAAGATATGGCATATAAATGCTAGGAATTTGTGAGAGCAGAAAATGGAAGTGGACTCCTGAAATAATTAGCTGGAGAGCCAATGATTTACCCTGCTCACCCAGATGACAGCCACGAACACACTGAGTGGTTATGATGACATCACGAACAACATCAAAGGCTCTCATACAGTGGGAAGCAATGTCACTCAGAAAAATGACAGTAAGGCTCAGGTGCATTAGAAAAGAAGAAAAACCTTCAAAGACAACTGCAAACAGTAATGGACGAGAACCCATACAATGATGACAAAATCCTTATAGGTTATATGAATGCCAAACTGTTAGCGGAGAACACAAGAAGTGGACTCATCATGTGTCGGGAGACTTTTGGCTAAACTAATGGGGATGGTAATCAAAATTCTGACGGTTTGGTGATTTAGGGTAGCATGTACAAGCACAAAGATATTCACAAGTTGATGGTGGGTTTCACCTGTTGGACAAACGGAAATTAGATAGAATTAATTTAGTTCTCAGCAAAATGGAGACGCAGCCTGCTGGACTCCAAATCAAGAAGAGAGCAGACGTGGGCTCAGGTCATTATCTAGTACAAGAAAACTTTGAGGTCAAGTTGAAAGCCTTCAGAGAGGCTGGATGCAGACTGCAGTTCAAGTTTGAAACCCACGAAAATGAAAAGAGAGACTGCAAAAGACTCATATACTGCCACCATCAGAGCAAATCTGTAGTAGCACCGACGGATGAAGCGTGGAATAACATTTAAACCCTCTGAAAGTGATGTTGAAAGAATCGTGTTTAGCCGTCTTAGAAGAAAGTCAAGATAAGGAATGGCTGTCTATGTGGGGGCAAACAGGATAGAGATGTGTGGTGAAATAGGAAATAAACCAGTGCAAAGATAGATAGAAAAAGAAGAAGCTGAGTTCAATCTACAATGCACTTAATGGATAAGTAAAGAGGAGTGCGAAACAACAAATATGTGAATAGAATAATGTGGGTAAAACTAATGAAAGACAGGAATGAGGGGATAGGAGAAAGCGAAGAAAACGGGCTGACCACTTCACAGGTCTCTTGAGCTGATCATCGCCTGCAAATAATACAGAAACGTCACCAACACTAAGCACAAAACTGCAAATGAACCCCGATGCTCCGACAAAATGAAAGTCTCTCTACCTGAGCTATATTGACTTAATAAATATCTCTGACAGCTTCGATCATCAATTGCTTTGGCAGCCACTTCAACACTTCTGAGTGGAGCCACAAACCTTTATAAACCTCATTTAAGAACCAAATAACTACTCCACATACAAAGTGATTCACAATGGAAAAATAATTAAAGCCTTCGAGGTGAAGAGAGGAGTACGACAAGACCGTCTACCATCACCTATGATATTCCCGTTTGTTTTGGACTTTGTCATGCAACAGACCGTTTGGGGCAAAACAGGCATACGACGGATTTCGCAGATAATTTGTCTAATATTACACAAATCTGAAGGTCTAAAGACATAAGCAATAGCTACTTAAATCACATTATAATTAAGGACAACAAACTCATTAAAAACTACGAAGTTGTTAATTTAACTTTAACTTGCTAATTGGCTGTGTCGGATACTGCACAGCTACTTATAGGATAGAAGAATATGCCAGTAAATAAACTCCCAAATGTTTTGGGAAATGAAAACATTGTAACATAGTAGGTTTAAGAAGTTAACTGTCAACTTAGGGAAAATCTTAAGCAGAAATAGGTTACCTTCGTCATAATACTGCAATTTCATAGTTACCATTAGCTCTGATGGTAGTTTTGATAATCTCTTCCCAGCTGTCTCTATGTTCTTTAAGAGGCTTAGGGTGGCTGATTTTATTTCTTTATCAGAAGTGTAAGACAGATCACACAGACTAATAGATGGTTTATAATTTATTAGCTCTAAAGTGGCACAAACCTTTCGTTTTCAGAAGTTACACTTAGTGAGATGTTGCTCTGTCCATACGACAGACGAAAGCAATATGACTCAATTACATTGCATTCATCATCTTTATTAGAGGGGGTATAAAGTGCAATAGTCGCTGATTTTAGCTGAACGAATTAGGTTAAATACTGCGAAGACTTACGTATTTTCGATCAATTGCATCAAAGCAACCCTTAAGCCAGTAGATTATCTTCGAAGATTCTGGAAATTCAGAGCTTTCTTTTAGTATCTTCAGTTCAATTCCTGTGTTTTAAAACGAGGTGACGATAAATAATACCTTCTAGTTGCTTGTCGTGGAATGCTGATTCAGGGAAAATGTCTCTGAAGTATAAAACATAAGACGCCGCTACTGCGAGCAATTTCTTGATGAAAACTAAGGACCGTAATTCGGTACCTAGTTCATTAGGAAACACTTTTGACCACTATTTGTAAAATACAAAATTCATTAGAACCTTACATTCCCAATATTCTGCCTAACTGCCAAAGCCGTCGCCATTTTTACTCACACGATAAGATGTTACGCTTACAAAAATGTAGCTGCACTCACTAGTTAAAACAATTGCTCCGTTTTCAATATTCGATCTTTTATTTATGGAGCATCTATAAAACTTGTGATTTCTTGTGACCCATTCTTTTGTATTGTTCTAGATTTTTGATAGATTTACAAACAATCTATACTTCTGAAGGTAATAAGAGGAACTGCATTACTATATTTCTGGAAAGAATTCATGTTTTTTACAGAGCAGTCGTATGTCCAGTACTTCCGTTCTTCCAGGCAATCCCTCGGTGATATCGAAAAAAAATTTGGGGAAGCGATGATAAACGGTGGGTTGGACAAGTGGAAATTAGTACAAATTATTGGATGTATGAGAGGTAAGACAGTAACTACACGCACAGTGTGATTGAGGAATAATAAAAGAGTCAGCACAAATATTACAATTTTGTACTCAGCTATATAAGAATAGGTAAGGTCTTTTAGTATCAATACAGATCTAGTCTACTTCCCCTGTGGATATGTGCAAATCCATGAATTTCACATGATGTTCTAGCCACATTTGACGGATCAGTTGCCAAATCTGCCGCTAGTAAGCTGCAAAATAGTTTGAAGAGAGAAAGAACGAACATGTTTGCAGAATAATACGAGCTCGTTTTATTTCGTGGATAGTCATCAACTGCATACATCCTAAACAAAATCAAATCTTAAGTTTCAAAAAAGTTTTGGAACATACTTTTTCATAATTACTTGGAGTTATAAATAGAAGGTATAAGGAACATAATTCCGAAATTTGATGTAGGTAGACAGATTATTCAGTGTCAAAAAACTAATTATATATAGTGAAATAAGACAAGAGGGTTTAGAGTTCAGATTACTATTGGGAAACGTAGATTGGTTAGAGGCATATTATAGGGTCAAGGTCAGAGAACAGAGTGAATTTACACATATGGTGGAGAGTTTAAGAGGGTGGGGGTGAATAGTGAAGTAACAGTAAAGTAAGTAACAAAAGACAAAAATAAATAAAATAGGATTAGGGTTACCAGGGTAGTGAAAGATTAGTCACACTATCTTTCTGTGTACAGAGGTCTGGTCGAAGTCTCTTGATAGCGATGGCTTCTGCGAAACGAAGTAGCCATGGGTTTCTTTGAGTATTGATTATTTTGAAGGCATGGCTGATTTCTACTGTGTGTCCTGTGTCAATTAAATGTCTGGCGTTTGCACTCGATAACACACTCTCCACCACATGTGTAAATTCACTCTGTTCTCTGACCTTGACCCTATAATATGCCTCTAACCAATCTACGTTTCTCAATAGTAATCTGAACTCTAAACCCTCTTATCTTATTCCACTATATATAATTAGTTTTTTGACACTGAATAATCTGTCTACCTACATCAAATTTCGGAATTATGTTCCTTATACCTTCTATTTATAACTCCAAGTAATTATGAAAAAGTATGTTCCAAAACTTTTTTGAAACTTAAGATTTGATTTTGTTTAGGATGTATGCAGTTGATGACTATCCACGAAATAAAACGAGCTCGTATTATTCTGCAAACATGTTCGTTCTTTCTCTCTTCAAACTAATAAAGGGAACCGGTTTTATGCAAAATAGTTATTTAAGTTTAATGTGAACTTACTCGTTTATACAAAATATAAATCATTATCATATAAATAATCCTTTTCTTCTCTAGGACAAATTTGAAATGGTAGTGCTGCATATATTTGTAATGAATAGATATTTTGCAACAATACTAATTCGCAGATAAGCATCCTATAGTCTACTATATTTGTTCTCAAACCAGTATTGTACGCATTTGAAGTCTGGCTGATTAAACTGAAAAAGTATGTAGAATTCCAACTATACTTGACATATAAGGGTACAGCTAAAAACAAGTAATCACCACCGAATTACGAATCTTGAGCGAAGATTGCCAGGCTCTAAAACGAGCATCATACCAAGCTAAGAAAAAGCGTAGGGTAAAAAACCTAGCGAATTGCAGTCCTATTTATATTAAACTTTCAAAAACAAAGTGTGTCAATGGAGTTGAAGATTGAACGATCAATTCTTGGTTGTTTGCTCAAAATCAACTTCCTCGATTTTCGCGGAGGCATCAATACGACAGTCATCGTCTCATCGGTCGCTGTTCAGAAAGAAGACTGAAACATCGTCAGAAGTAATACAGAGATTTATTATTGTAATATTTGTTTACAGACCTTAGTTTGCTTAGTGATACTTGATTTATATGCTGGTGTAACAATACATAATACTCAAGTCAACAATTGGTGTTCTGGTTTTTTCGTCCGTTGTTACTAAGCGTTTCTCAGAAATCTTCTAAGAACAGCGTGGGCCCGAGCGTAGCGAGAGCTGGGCATTAACGGTTTATGAGACTTTGCTGACAGTTTCTGACGATAGAAACAGATCTGGCGGATTGAAACAGTTGGTGAAAGTTTGGATAGTCGCCGTTCATTTTTCCTGGTGCCGGTCAAGTCCTCTTTGAACAAGCAATATCTGGAACTTTTTTGGAATTGGGTCAAGTTCAACAATGCCTGGGTCAAAGAAGGGACAGAGTGTCTTGGATGCAAACAGGAAAGTAAGTCATGGTGACTTGTCTGTTAATTGTAACGATGTGTCTGATGTTAAGCATGACATGGTTGATGTTACTGTTTCGCCGTTCAGGGATAATAGGAACATCAAACTCCCTAAATTCGAACCACGATGTTTTGATGGAAACCCGGCTGATTATTTACAATTTGTAAAGGAGTTTGAGATCATGTTGAGTGGTTTTTTATTAAATGATGAATTGAAATTGATGTATTTGATGAGATATTGCACTGGAGATGCTGCAAGAGCTATACAGTGTTGTAAGTTTATGAAGCCAAAGGAGGGCTACGATGAGGCTATGAGCATATTACGTCAAAGGTTTGGAAGACCTTCGATGATTGCAGGGAAATTATTCGAGGCTGTTGAGGGTAATGGTGGTCAGTTACAGGATGACTCCCAGGCACTCACTGAGTTTTTAGATAATTTGCTAATTTACAAGAATGGAATGATTTCGATGAATCGAATGAGTGACCTCAACTCGAGTTTTATACTAGAAGTAATAGCAAGACGTCTACCTACTCGACTGCAAAGGAAGTGGGTGAAGATAAGCTCCCGTATGGAGGATGAGGGTATCGAGCCAAAGTTTGATGATATCCTGAAACTGGTAAATACTAGTGTCAATCAATCTATGAGCAAGTTTTCCAGTCTGTTAGATCTCACCCCTAGAATAGAGCAGTCTGAGGGTAAAACGCACTCATTGATGACGAGTAGGCCTCAGAGAGGTGGATATCGAGAAGACTCCATGATGTCTAGTAATGCATATAGACCTAGTGAGTGTAACAGGTTTCGTAGTACATCCTCAACAGATAAGTTACAAGATGCAAGACAAACACGGTTTTGTTCTACACGTGTGCAAGAGGTGCATACAGAAGTGAACTGTGAACCAGTGAGCAAGTTCAGTGATAAGCTAAATGTAAACTCCAGGCCTGACTCCGAATTGTGTGACGATAACGTTGTTGTGAAGAAGTCTGTAGTTGCAACTGGTAAGCCGTTGCTGAATAGAGTGTCACAGAATAGAGTTACTGCTTCAGAGTGGAGTTCTGACTCCAAAAGTTTACAAAGTATAACTAGTCAGAGTGAAGATATAAAACCTTTAATGATTTGTGAGGAGGAACCAAAATTGTCTACTTCTGTTATTAAAGAGTTTGAAAATGATGAAGTTGACGGTAAATTGGATATTTGTGATAATGATCATGATAGTGCAGATTTGTCTTTGGTTGATCATGATGAAATGGAGGGAATGCCTACTACTGCTAAGTTAAATAAAGGTTCTGTACAACTTGAACGTGAAGTAGAAATAAATGCAGATTCAGTTGCAGAAGGCATGCATACTTGTAAGACCGTCAGTGTAATTGATCAGCGTGTAGCCCACCTATCATCAGATGCTAGTGTTAAACCTGAGCTGATAGTAAAAGACAGCAGTGGTGGTGGTCTTGCAGGTAGACAAATTTCTGAAAAGCGAGCAACAACAGCTTTTGATCCACTGCTAAGTTCATCAACTGATATCAATCAGTCGTCGTTGGTGCTGTCATCCACAATGAAACAGACACCCATGAACTCAAGTATCTTGTGCAATGACTATGGTAGTATCAGTTCGTTTGAAAGGACGAATATCAATGGTCAGTTTAGTGTGGATAAGCCAAGTGTAAAGGAGAGAGTTATTGTTAAATTGACTTGCACGAATAAAGGCATTTCTAGTTTCAAGTTACTATTTGAATGTTATTATCTTTGGTGTAAATTACTCTGTTTCTATACTTGGTTGATGAGATATGTCGTGTGTTTGTTGGTCATCTATATTCTACGATACAATGACATGGGCGTGTTGCCGTTCAGATTTGAGGATATAGCTGATAGAAGGAAGTTAGCAAATGAACTCTGCGACGATTTTCCAACCTAGGGCGTCAACCTGAGAAGGGTTGTAGGCGTACTGCTGTAAGTCCTACAATTCTTCAAAGGGTAGCGCATCAATGAGCAGTCCAATGTGCTTGGTGTGTGATTTTGTACATATGTTCATATTGTATATACTGAATTGATATCATCTGTCATCTAGCTGTTGGTAATTCTGTTTGTGTCCGGACGACTTCCACTTGGATCATCAACCTGAGAAGGAATGTAGGCGTACTGCTGTAAGTCCTACAGTTCTTCAAGGGTAGTTTGTCGTGTCAGAATCCACAACATTTGATGTGTTGATTGTACATATGTTTGTGTTAAATAGTTGTGTGAGTTCCAATTGATGTAATTGTTGGTTAATCTTGTTTGTGTCTGGACATTCCACAACTTACAATCGTCAACCTGTGAAGGGTTGTAGGCGTACTGGTGTAAGTCCTGCAATTCTTCAAAGGAATTCCACCAAGACATGATCGGCGAGGTTGTTTGTACTATTTGTATATACGTGTGGTGTGTCATATCAATTGGTGTTTTTGGATTCATTGT